CTCAACCCACCTGCTAGAGTTTTCAGTGATCAGTGGGAGAGACAGGCTGCAGTTAGTTTATCTCAGTTTGGAGAGATTGCATCTGATTTTTATTTGTTCCATAGAGAGAAGAACCTGGAAATTTATATTAAGACTCTACTAGGCTGGTAGATTTTTGGAATAATAATGATTTTATTTTTGTGGTGCCTACCATGTCAGGCACTATGGTGGGCACTTTAATGTACACAATCTCAATCAATCCTCACAGTAACGCTATGGAAGGGGATATTATGATTTTTCTTTAACAGATGAGGAAACAGAATCTGGAAGTTTAAGTAATTTTCCAAGATCAAATAGTAATTGACAGAGCAAACTCAATGCTGGCTGGCTCCAAAGCCAGTGCTCATGCCACTCTGTAGGCCAGCGTGGGATTAAAACTGCCAAGGGGAGTCATGTTGAGGTGAACCTTGAATGCTAGAGTAGTAACTTATTTTTCTATAGCTCAACTTGATTTTTGACTGAGCTCCCATCTTGTAGGACAAGTGAAAATAAAAACTTGCCAGGATTTATTCTCCCACTCCTGAGATTGTGCTCCAATCCTTGGTATCCTACAGAGTACCAGGGAAGAGTAGTGGAAATGGAGAATCTGGTCCTAACTATTGGATCTGATATGGCCAATACCTCTGTCCCTATCACCCCTTTCATTCCCTTTGAGAAGTCCCTGCCATCTTTGGGCATGGACATGTGTCAGGGCTGCTTGAACTTGCTCTCCAGCTATTCTTTGAGAATTTGTGACCTGGTGGTTGGTGCTACTCAGAAGCAGGATCCAAATTCCCTACGTTCAGATCTCTTTCTTCCCTCTCTCCCCATTCCAGTTCTGTGTTGGGGATAGGGCACACATTCCTCCCCTTGCTTCTCCATGAAACTTTGTCTCTACTGTGAATCACTTTCTCTTACTTTTTCACTTCCTCCCCAAACCCTGGAAATTCTTTGAACTGTTAAAGCTTTTGGAAAACCACAGCAAGAAAGGCTTGCAGGGAATCTCTGTCTGATGTTTTGTTAGATACCTTTATTGAGGCAATGATAGACAGTTAGACCTGTTGAGAAGGGTGGAAAATATGATAAGAACAGAAATTAATAACTAAAATATTTATACAACTATACAAACTAAGAAATCTGTAGTTAGTTCAGTAGATCAAGCCTTTAATTATTGGCTATGGAAAGGTTTAACTTTTTTAAAAAAGCTGTTTATTAAGTGGTTTGTTAATGATAACCAGTTTTCTGGATATGTTGTGATGAGGAAAGCAGAAATTTATAGTGGTATCATTCATTACTATGCTGATTGATTAGCAGTGGCTACTTGGAGCCCAGAGTTGAAAAGGATTCTGAGACTACGACTTAGATGAACAGGAAACCAATGAGTCACTTATCAATGTCTGCCAAGGATGTGGAGAGCAGGGTGGCTGCCCTCATGCCAGATATTTGCTTTCCCTGGGGTGTTTTATCACATTGATTCTTGTTAGGAGCAGACAAAGGAGACAGAAAATTTGGCAAGTGGCAAGGAAGTAGGCATTGTGGTAACAACGTTTTGACTTTGTGCCACTGAAACAATATTGGCCTGCCCACCATTGTTAGCCACATATTTTAGTTGATAGTCTCTATTAGAGTCTGAGTCTGAGTCAGGTATTTAAAACAAAACAACCCCTCCCCCCCCCCCAAAAAAAAAAAAATTCAAAAAAAAAAAAAAAAAACCATGGCAGAAATGGGACCAGAATCCTGGATGACTGGTTCAGAGTCCATTCTTTTCACCGAGACTATAGCAGGTATCCTTGCAAATGTTCAGACTTAGAGGATTTTTTTTTTCTCAGTGAAGCTTTTTTGGATCTAAACTGGTTCATATCATGACATTACTCATCGAAAGGAAATTTTACTCAGAATTGTTTGAAATATGGGAGCAAAAGGCATTACCCATTTGCTGTTACTTAATACCATCCTTGGTTCTCAGAAGTCCATATTCTCCCCTTGCTCCTCTCCCTTCTTCCTTCCTTTCCCTTCTCTCTCTGTACTTTTCCCTTCCTCCCTCTCCTCCTGCCTCCTCTTCTCTTCTATCCTCCACTTTTTCTTTTCTTCATCCCTCCCTTCCTTTCTTTTTTTTCACTCAACCAGCATTTTTGAGCACGCACTCTGTATGAGGTGTATGCCATTCCCTTAGCTTTTATCCTCCCCGGCATTAGAGATATGCTCCTGTGTAGTGAGTGCTGTGACAGGAGTCACAACAGTTACTCATAAACTCAAAAATTAAGTTAGTTTCTCTGATTTTGCACAACAGCTTCAGTGACTCTTTGCATTTGTTGTCATTTTATAACTCTTCACTGTTGTATTAGTTACCTGTTGCCTCATAACAAATTATCCTGAAACTTGGCAACTTAAAATAACATTTATTACGTGACACTTTCTGTGGGGGGCAGGACCTAGGTCCTGCGCTGTGAAGTCTCTCATAAGCTGCACCCAATGAGTTAGCGAGGGATACAGTCCTCTCAAGGCTCTGCTGAGGAGGGATCTGCTTCCAAGCTCAATCATTTGGTTGTTGGCAGGATTCAGTTCCCCAGGGGCTGCAGGCTGCCCTGAGTCCATGCCATGTGACCCTTTCCACAGCCCAGCTTACAGCCTGGCAGCCTGCTCCATCACCGTGAGCGAGCAAGAAGAGCCAGCCAGATGGAAATCATCATCTTTCACAAGCTAACCTTGGAGGTGATATTCTACCACTTCTGCCACATTCTATTTCCTAAAATCAAGCTACCAGGTCCCGCCTGCAGTCAAGGGGAGGGGATCATAACAGTGGTGTGAATACCAGGAGGTAGGGTCATTGGAATCCTCTCTACCACCATTGTATGTTCAAGAGCTGACAATACTTCAAGAAACTCTAAAGTAAATTGGCAGTGTCTGTTTAGTTGGTGAAGGGAGGGTGAAGGGGAATCTCTACCATGAATGCCAGACGCCCTTATGTGCCTCACTTAATTTAATCTTCACATCCTTCCTGTGATGTAGATATTTGTGGCACACTCTGCTAGTTTTCCTTCTTCCATTTTTTTTGTAGTAAAATAATTTTTATGGTTGCCTAGATAATAAAGACTACATTTCCCACCTTCTCCTACAGCTAGGTGTGGCCACATGCTTAAGTTCTGGCCAATGTGATGGCGGCCACGGTGTGTGTGGCAGCTTTCAGTAACTCTCCTTAAGGGAGAGCTAGCAGGTGTCCTTTCCTCTTCTCCTTTGCCCTTCCTCCATCCTTCTGCTTGGAATGTAGATCTCAGATAATTAGGTTGAGACCATACAACTAAAGCAACAAGAAGGAGCCTCTATGCATGAAGCTGTGAAGCATGATACCAGCATTATAGTGTCTTTTGGGCCTTTTGAGCTAGAGACCATACGCTACTGTCTTTTTTTAAACTACTGCAATTTGGGTGAACAGTCACTGCAGCTGAACCTAATCCTAGATAATTCAGAATTAGGTACCTAGAAATGGGGTGTGACATATAATAAAATAGGTGATATGGGCTTAGTGCAGGATTGGCAAACTTGGGCTGTAAAGAGCCAGACAATAAATATTTTAGGCTTTGTGGGCCATATATGGTCTTAGATACAAATTATTCCTTTTTTTTTTAAACAATCTTTTAAAAATGTAAAATAACATTCTTAGCTCAACCCTTTAAAAACAAAACAGCCATTTTTAGCCCAAGGCCCAAACAAACATCAAGTAGCTAGATTTGGTCCTGGAGGGACAGTTTGCTGGTGCCTGGTCTAGTCCATGAGGGGTCAGCAGATGCTCCCAGGCCAATGTTGACGTCAGAGCCCACTTACCTTTTTGGAGTCCTGTTTTGCCATTATTATTTCTGAGTATTTCTCTTGTTTTTCTTAACTGATTGGAAAATAATACACTTAATTACTAAAAATTACATTTACTTTCAGAAGATGGACTGGGGGGACTTATATAAAAATGTGACCATAAAGAAATCATCAAAACCACATTACAATTGTGGATTATTAATATTCAGGCATTTACTCAAAAAAAAAAAGCAAAACTTTAGTTTTCAGGAAAGAAAAAAATAGTCAGCAGCTCATGTTGGTAATTTTTAAAACTTTATAATGGTACTTTAAAATTCAATTAAAAGCATTTCATCATCCCAGAATCATACAATATTGCATTGTTTCTAATTTCATGTGATTTATATGATTCAAAGATACTCAATATGTTTATATCTTCCAAACCAATGATTATTTTACCAATAAGTGAATGGTATGATTTTACTCAATATATTTAGATAGATCACAGAGTTCTACAAAACATTGTACTCAAAGTACAAAAATAAGTGCTTTCTGCACACTCTTTAATACTGTTTTTATCTCTTTTGGTACCTCAGCTAACTAGCTTCACATAAATAAAAATAATAAAAAAGGAAAAGAAGCAAGAGATTGTTTTGTTTAACATCTGGAAACTAGAAACGCATTTTGCTGATAGCTTGCTTTTCATTAAGAGATAAGGGATAACAGGTTTTTAAATTTATAAACACAACCATATTTAGAAAACAGAAATAGTTAATGACCAATGTTTTCAAGTAAATGACAGACATAGGTACACGCTCATTAACAACACAGATCAGTATGTGAAATTGTACATTCCCTGTTTTAATGCTCCTTCTGGCTCTCTAACTAACCTTTTTCTCTTCTATTTTTGCACAGTCCTTTATGTTTCTCCTGGGGAAAATATTTGAAAATTCATTTTACTTAAATAACAATAATAGGTCAAGTGTTAAATTCATCTTTAAAAAGACTTACTGTACCAACCCAGTGTTTGGCAATAGTAGTGGAAACTTAAGGTTTAGAGCGGAGTTGATTTATTTTTGGGATTCTGACTAAGTGGCAAAACCTGCAGCTGATGCAATTATATTCAGTTTTGAAAAATGCAGCAGGGAGCACTAGACTGTGTGCCCCACTGAGGAAAGAAATAAGAAATATGTGTGTTTGTAGTCACAGTTTCTGGCCCAAGAGTAGGTGCATAGTAAACACAAGCTGATCACATATTCTAGGAAGAATAGGTTTGTGGGTTAGTAGCAATAGAGCTTGTACAATTTGTCTAATTCCCAATATTGGTAAAGGGAATAAAGGAAGAGTATAAAGGAAATTTTATTAAAAAGGAAAATAATCTGTCAATATTACTTTCCATTTAAAAATAATAAAACCTTTATATGGAATTATGTGAGGATTTGGGGTGAAGAATAGCGGATGAGCAACCATAGTGGTGATGTTAACTGCAAGGGAGTTAGTGTTTGAGCAAACTGAAATAAAAGAAGGAAAAAAGGCAAAATGCTTTTGAAGGTAAAGGTTTATATAAGAAATCCTATCTGGTTTGGAGTATGAGTTGTCTGATTCAAGGAAAAAAGGAATCAGCAAATGCTCTAAGACTCTACTAATCCCTTGTGGATGCCAATAGACCAAGCAGGTGTGTCCAAGAGCTTTCTTTTGTCTCATTCCCTGCCCCATCTGGCCTAGTGGCTGCTAGCTCTGCCAAATGAAGGTAGAACTCAGGACCCACAGCCCAGGGGGAGTGTGAGGAAAATAGAACCGGAAATGAACTAGACAGAGGGGACAGGCAGGTAGAGAGTGGATTAAGGGTGACTGGAGAAGGTGAGACATTTCTCTTCATTCACTACACTCCTGACCAGTCAGAAAGAAGTAGCTGAGCCCTTCAGTTTAATCTTCTACAAGATATTAAAAAAATTATAAAGATAGAAGGGTGCTATATAATCTGTTATCTAAACTGGGGCACATTTGAGCGTAAGAGGGATCATTGTTAATATTTATGGTGGTATGACAGACGTAAGTCAGGACTGTCCTAGCCCAGAGAGACGTTGCCAAACCCTGAGTAGGGCTGATACTCTTCAGTCCTCAAGAAGTTCTCATGGGCAGCTTACTGTCTTTAAGGTGCTGTTTTTTGGTATCGCCCCTTCTCTCAGACAAAGTATCATATGAGAAGAGAGGACAAGGCATATTCTTCTTAATTTCTCTCTCAAAATAGGAGAAAATTCTGTGAGTGAGAGGTAGATGCGAAAGTGTTCTACATTTTATTTCAGGCACGTTTAAATGAATGAAGGCTTTTGGTTTCCAAATTATTTTTTTCCCTTCTAGATTGGTTATGAATTCATTAGTAAAAGTTTTCTTTGATCCTTCCTACAAAAATGAGGAGAGCTGGGGACACAAAGTTTGAAATAAGTCTATGTGTTCAATATACATATTGCTAAATCTATGCAGTCAAATACTTTGTGTATACACATTGTAAGAAAAAGATGGCTTTTAAAATGTTGAATGTTTTGGGGGGGGCAATAGAATATTCTGTGCCCATTTTTTACTTAATAAAAAAATTTAAAAATATTTTATTCCATAGGGAAAGAGATAGGGGACGGGGTCAGAAAAATCTCATATTTCTAATAGTTTCACTCATTATAGCACAACTTGTTTCTGTCTTTGTTTTAACATTGACAAATTCAAATGTATAGCTTGATGGATACATTTCACTTTCTGTGAATATGTTCTAGTAACAAGAGCATTTTTTAAGATGCTACTAGACTGTCAAATCTGATTTTGAAATTTTACTTCAATCAGTTTAATAAAACCTAGTTGACAGTGGTTACATGTCAGATAAAAATGCTTTTTGCCTAGTTTCTCTCTGTATTCCAATAAGTATATAAAAATTCATAAGTTATTCTATTAATATATTCTTTTAAAATATTTATCACCAAGTTTTCCAATAGTGTTATATTTGAAACAGTTTTATCTTTAACAGATATATTTACAATATAAATGTGTATCTATAAAACATAACAAGTGCCAAGTCTGTAGGCTAATTTTTAGATACATTTGCACCCTCCTGGGAACTTTTGTATGAATGCAATGAGAAGATAAAATAACAATGGCTTTATGTGAATATTGGGCATATTGTTCACTTTTAGTTGTAAGTTATTTTACAGAAATCTTGGGTAGGGCTGGAATTGCTCAACAATAATCAACTCTATCAAACATTGTAGCTTTGAATGCAAAGAAAATACTAACTTTCTTTATTATCCTTCATTCTACAAATGGCACCATGTCTATGTAGATTCTGACCATAGCTCAGTGGTCCAAGACAGAATTATAAAATAGTCATTTAAAATATACCAAAAATTAATGTAAATTGAAAATTATACTGATGCAATATTTTGCTTATCTAAGTGGAAGAATATGCTTTTCTTAAAAACCCTTAAAGTAAAACAAAAACTCATTTCCTGCATAGCTGTTATTAATACATAGTTATAATTTAATTTCCATTCCACCTTTGAAAACTATGGTTTGGAAATAGATCCTCTGTTGTTAGACATGTTTTGAAGTCAATATTTTCTTAACATGAGGTAGCTTTTTAGCAGCATTTTGGGTGCTGTTACCCAAACATAGTGTGGTTTGGCATGATACTGCATTGGAGGGTATCCTAGTCATCTAGGAGAATTACATTTTGTGGCAGTTTTAGGTGCTCTTTGAGCTATATTACTCGGGTGGGAGAGAAATAATGCAATTTGAGAAACGGCAGCATTTTTACAGGTAAGAAAATAGATACCTAATCTCATTGCTGTTCCATTTCCCCCTAAGTAATATTGGACTGATTTTAATTAAGCTTAATAGCTTAATTAGCTTATTAGCTAATTAATATTAACAAATTTGGAAATCCAATTCTTATTTACTAGATGTTTCTAAATTATTGTTTTGGGTGTTTTGTTATTATCACTTGGTTGGCTGACTAATTTTAATTTTTTTCTATGAAGAATTAAGAAGCAGGCAAGTAAGAAATAACAAAAATGAATAATGATACAGAAAGTATCAAGGTGTTAAATAGGTGCTAATTTCTTAAGTCTAAAAATATAAACATTATGCAAAATTAGCCTTTGGTTCTACATTTGATTTCAAAAAGGCTGTTTTCTTAATAATTTCAGACTCTTGCACTAGCAGGACTTGCTCTATATTTCTTAACTTGGGGAAAGCAACAACAAACATATGGAATGGTAGACACATTGACACTTTCTATGAATATATTCTAATGAAATTCAAAGTATTCTCTGCATATTATTGCTAAATGAAGTAAAGTTTCTGCAAAAAACCTCTGACACTTATTTGTATAAATCATTTCTCAGGAGGTAAATATCATGAATACTTGTGTTTTTCCATTAAAGTAATGAGATGGTGTTCCAGTGACAATTTTCTTGACACTTGGCATTATTGTATGTTTTAGGTCTCTTATCTTAATCTTTTAAAAAAGTGATTATGACCTTATCTGGAATAATGATTTTTCTCATAAGGACAGTACTGTATTAACTAATTATCTTTTCATTTTGATCAAATTTAAAACTTCTTTAGATCAAACTTTCTATTTTGCATTGACTAGGCATGTAGAATGAACTTTGCTACTACTTATTTTCAAAGATTTTAAGAAAAATCAAAACTTTTGCTCTTGCAATTTAGAATGCTTTTTTAGACTGAGTAAGAAACTTGCCAGCCTCAATGGACATTCGTTATGTCAATGTAATTATTCTTTTTGAGAATAAAAACAGATCTGTGGGGGAGTGCAAATTTAGATCTAAGAATTGCTTTACAAGAAATTTTTTTACTTTTTCACTTTTAGAGTTAATAATAGTTTGAACCCTATATGAATTTTATTCCAACTCATACTGATTATGAGATGCACATATGTAAAATATGATTTGGATGTTTTAACTGAGACAATTTTTTTCTTGCAGTTTTCTATTTAATAAAAGTGAAATGGAAAGGAAAACAATTAAGGGACAGAGTGGAAATACAAGAAAATAGCAGTTCCCAAACTTAGAGGCAAATTGAAATCACCTAGGGATCTTTAAAAAGACCAACGCCAAGCTCCTGCTCCAACACAGTCTCATATAAGTGGTATGAGCTGTGATCTTGGCATTAACATTTTAAAAAGCTCTCCAGGTGTTTCTAATGTGCAGCCAAGTTTGAAAACCACTGCCCCCAGGAATATGAGAAGCTAAATGTAAAACCGAAAGTCAGGCCTTTCGGAGTCTCAGCTGTAGCTTTGAAGCCTTTGAGACCTGCCTGGAAGTTAACAGATGTGAAAGGTTATGAGTATTTTTCATTGTGATTGACATTTACCTGATTTTGACTGGAATCTGGCCTGATTTTGTATCAAAGGATTACATTAAGGAGGTGACAAAATTTTCTGTGCCTTTGTTGTTTTCCCTTGAGTTCTGTAGAATTTTGTAAGTGCCAAGGGGTTTTTAAAAATGGAAATGATAGTATGGTACGCCCTAACCACTAATGAGACTAAAGTAGTAATAATAGGTCTTTGGTGTTGGACTTTGACTATTTCTGTTTTGAGCAAAGCAATTATTTACAAGTATGGCAAGAAAGTAGTGCCTTATCTTCACCTCCATTCCGGGTTTGGTGGTACCCCTCCTGCCCTACCAGATGTTCCTGGAGAAGAGGCCCAAGGCTAGGGGATTTTGGCAAATATAAAGACACCCTTGCTGACTGTCTGAAGAAACAGTTTCTAATCAGCAGTGAGGGATGTAAGGTTTTGCAGTGACAACTTTAAGACAAAAGGACTCAGGTAGGGTAAAGCTGCCTGATACTTACTGAAAGAACAATGAAATTCCAAGAATTTCTTGGAAGATTTAGTGTAAATGGGTAAATTCTAGGCTAACCCTAAGTTAATAGAACAGAATCTCTGAATGCTGGATGGTGGCCTAGATTGCTGCAAAAAGATAAAAAAAAAATAAGAGTGAAGCTTCACTTCTGTCTTTGAAATGACTTTTCAGCCAATTTACTGAATAAGAGAAAGTTTCATAAATGATATTCTGTAGATTCGATTTACTTTTTTTTATGATATAAGAGATGAGCGAAATGAGTCTGAGATGAAAATGAATTAATGTGAACAAGTAAAAGTTTTTCAAATGAGAAAAAAATCACCTCATATTGGCACCATTATTGGTAATGGTAGGAGTTGTAGGGAAAAACTAGGGGTGGGCTAATGAGTTAAATAAACAGTGGGGCCTGGATTTGTTTTAACTGTACCTGCCACACATCATATCCATTTCTAGGAAGTCCCCAGGGACTGCAGGTGACAGGAAGATCCTCCTCTATGACTAACTGACTGGATGGAATTTTCAGACTGCAGTACGGCTGACTTCATCAAACCTTGGATGCTCTTTCAGGAGCACAGGTCTGGCTGGTATCATGTCCCACGCGGTGGGCAATGGTGCCTGCATTTTGCAAAGCATCCCCCTACTTTCCTTTTGCCTTGTGTTTGTGTATCACAAAAGCAGCTGTGAGCCAAGGGTTAAGACTCTGGAGTTTATCTGATTTTCCTTTGTTGTTACTGACTACTTAGGTTGTCTGTTCAGCCTCAACCCCTGCCAGCTAAAAGATGTCTCCCCACTCTGTCAGTGTTTGTAAACGTGCTCCCAGGACACTCAGGAACATTGGAAGAACAACTTCTGGGGTAAATGGCTCTCCAGCTTTCTGTTAAACAAAAGGCTCCTTAACATTTGATTTCATTTTGGAATAACATTCTCACTTCACAATTCTACAATTAGTTTAAGCTATACAGTCTTAGGAAAGGCATTGCTGTCGGGAAGATATTACTTATGATCATTAGGGGACTGAGTTAGAGGTTAATTTCTTCTTTATAGAGGTTTGTGTGTCTTATTCTTAAATTTTTAAAAAAAGATATCTTCAAAAGGCTCCATATCCATCCCCTCGGGCAGTCACTGCAAAAGTAGGGTAGACCTCGTAGGTTGTGTATGCTGTTAAGTCTTGTCCAAGGGTTACTGCTTGCTTGAGCTGGGCTGCAGACACAGGTGCAGTTGCGCTAGGGACAGCGTATCCTAGAGGAGGAGGCAGAGAAAATGTCATGAGAGGGATTAAGATTTGTTCCCTTTCTGACTTATTGTCCTCCTTCAGGAATATGAACATTTAATATATTGCTTAAAACTAAAAGTTAGTATGTATGTTTTAAAAGGTATTGTCAGGGGACATAATATGGGGACTAAGTGATTTATTTATTTATTTATTTTGAGACAGAGTCTCACTTTGTTGCCCAGGCTAGAGTGAGTGCCGTGGCGTCAGCCTAGCTCACAGCAACCTCAAACTCCTGGGCTCAAGCAATCCTCCTGCCTCAGCCTCCCGAGTAGCTGGGACTACAGGCATGTGCCACCATGCCCGGCTAATGTTTTTCTATATATATTAGTTGGCCAATTAATTTCTTTTTATTTATAGTAGAGACAGGGTCTCACTCTTGCTCAGGCTGGTTTTGAACTCCTGACCTTGAGCAATCCGCCCACCTCGGCCACTCAGAGTGCTAGGATCACCGTGCCCGGCCTGACTAAGTGATTTAAAATGGTATTTGAAAAGTCCCAAAACAATGTTACTGAAAGTGGATTCAACCACCTGTGTTAGAATCACTCCACACTTGGAGAATTAGGAATGTTGGGGATAGGGTACCATTTATCGGGTGTCGGGCAGGTGGGAGGGGGAGGAGAGGATGGGTATATACAAACACAATGAGTGAGATGTGCAACATTTGGGGGATGGTCACAATTGAGGCTCTGAATCAAGGGGGGAGGGGAGCATGGACAATATACGTAACCTTAACACTCGTACCACTATAACACGCTAAAAAAAAAAAAGCTTGTGATTTAGAACATTTTCAGAGGGTCTCAGAATTTATGAATGAGGAAAGGTGGTTGAGGGCAGGCAGACATGGTGTATGTGTATGGTGAAGAGGGGTGAGTCTATAGGTCTGGTTCTGCTGCAACCCCACGCCTGCCTAAATGAAATATTAAAAACCATTGCCTTTACTCAAGAAGGATGTGTAGAGACTGGGTAGACCAGTAGAACAAATGCTGTGAAGTTTAAGTGTGCTTCTACCTAATACCTTAAAAACAAATACCACTCCTGTCCATACTTAGACTAACTGTGAATGGCAAAAGCACCTTCTTATCCCCCTATCAAGCCTGTCTCTGGTGTGTTCAGAGGCTCGAATGCTGGTTCTCATGCTCAGAGAACCAAAAGATTTGAGTGACAAGGAAATTATTGACATGCTTTCATCTTAGTATTGTATCTAGATGATGAATATTCATTTTTGAAAAAAGAAAGCATAATAGCTACTATCTAAAGCAGTACTGACCCAAACCTGAGTATTTCTGAGCTGATCCAAAAATTGTAAAAGATAACAAGAAAAAGGGAGAAGTGTACTTAAGTAACAAATGGGGACCTGATTTTTTTTTTTAAAGGCCATTTGTTTGTGTGTGGTGGACATCTGCCCAACTCCAGACACATTGATTTTTTCCTGGTGGCTTCTCAGGAAGTGGTGTCAGGAAGCTGGTTGTATTATTTTTAAAAAATTGAACCTACTCCTTGGCTCATTCACTTTGGTTAGTAATGCTGATTAATGCACTAGTGAAGTTTGGTACATTTGCCAAGGATATGAGAAATATGTTAACAATTACTTTCAAATTTTTGGAAACAGTATTTCTAAAGTAAGTATGTAGTATACGTGAGTGTGTATGTGTTTGAAGCACATATTTTACCTCTAGGGACTTTGAATTTTCTTTCTAAATTTGGCTAATTTGTTAAGTGCAAGGGTATCTGGGTTTTAAACAGATTCTTCCCTTGGAATCTATTCTTCTTTGCTTCACTCCACAGCAAAGTTATAAGAGAGGCTCCCAAATTCTTACACATTCTCGAGACAACTCTCATGCCCTAAATATTTTTAACTTTCTCACAGGAGCAAACAGAAGTGAGAATAAGATAAAACATTCTTGGGTAAAAGTAAATCCTTTCCAATGTGAAAGCAAACTTTAAGATTCTCCTGGCAGTGGCTCGTTATTTTTATAGTACATTATTAGTTAGGTGTCTTCGGGGTGCAGATTTCTACAAGACAGGGGCTGAACGTTCTCCAAGAACTGAGAAGCCTTGGCACAAGTCCTGAGTAGATGGACATGCAAACACGCTGTTATGTGGAAAGGAAGCACAGGGCCGATGGCCCTGCACCGCCCAGGGAGGACCTTTGCTCTCTGCAGTGTCAGCTGTTGCTTTGGTAACCTGGGACTCACCACAGTGAGTCTCCATGTTCTTACTGAGAAACAAAGCTAGAATTGAGGTCACATTCATGTGAAGCATGGTTAGTTTTAGCCTCACTTGCCAGAATGGGGGATATATTCACAATTTTTGAGAAATAAAAAATAAATCAAGAGCGAGCCTCAGGTGTTGTGGATGTGAGGAATAGAGACTTTCTTACACCTATACATGACCAATACATGAATTAATCAATTAATAGGAATGTCATATTTCTAGGTCTAGTTAGAACTCTGTAATTTGGCCTTATGGGGCACTTATTGACACAATGACAGTCAGAATGACAAATTTCTTCAATAGAAATAAATGTTTATTGCTAAAAAAATATGAGGTCACTAACTGCTGAGAAAATATTTCCTAAAGAAGTTTCTTGCCTGGCCCCCTTTAATCTTTAAAGGCTTCATTTTTAATTATTAGCATTTATTGTGGGTACGTAATAAATGGGGAGAAAGTCTTTTAAATGTGACCACTGAAGGTGGTGTTGATCTGTACAGATAGGCTTTTCTTTAAGCAATCACCATATGCCCCAGAGCAAAATTACAGAACAGATAAATTGAGTCCTGATCATTCACATATTGAAAAGATCTGTTTGTCTCTTTCTGTTTCTCACTCCAACATACAATTTTTGACTTAATTTAAGAAAAATGTGATCTAACACATCTCTTTTGAATCAAAATAACAGAAGTAAATTGAAGATTAGAACAGGGAAGGGAGCTTAAGGATTGCTTAAAAGCTAATTAATGTTGGCCAAATTACTTCATCTTTCCAGAACTTTGGTTCTTCATCTGTACAATGGGTGTTCTGATGGAACCTAACTCTTACTGATGTCACGAGCATTTCTGAGATAATACAAAGCTTGCTGAACATTTAGGTGAGTGTCTAGCATGTAGTAAGAGCTCAAATAAATACTTATTATTATTAGTAGTCCCAAACTCTCTTACTAAAAACAAAAACCAAACCAAACCGGAACAAACCAGACCTAGAGCCAGTGACACATTCACAAGGTCATGCAGTGGCTTAAAGGTGAGCTGAGACCTGAACCCACTGTGCTGCCCAGCTCGATTTTCTCGCCTTATGCTTCCATGGGTCACTCATCTGGCAAACTCTTTTTGGTCCCCAGAGGGTGCAAGTCTGCTTTATTGTAGGTAAGCTTCACAAACATTTCCATGAGTCCATGGTACCAAGAAAGGTTTCCCAAACACTCTCTGGAGGGTGCCATTTCTGGCACAACTTTTCCATACCTGGGAAAGCCGTAGCTGTAGCAACAGCAGCGGCAGCAGCAGCTGCGGTCCCAGCGTCCCCTCCCTCTGTGGGGATGCCCAGCGTCTGCAGGGTGTATTCCGCTGCATATGTCTTTGCTTCATCCACGTAGGCACTTAGCTTCGGAGGCGTGAAAGGGTGGCTGGAAAGCACAGTCAGTCAGGCTAGGCATTTTCAAACCTGCGCTATTGAGTCAGGTGAAAACCTAAGGCACTGTCAGCTTTGTAAGATGACTGGATGACGGGATTGTGTGTGGGTATTTTTCATTCTCTTTGCTATGAAAGCTTCTCAACTTAGGCCGCATGGAGGAATATTTGGGAATTGACCTAGAACATCCATGGTCGATGACATTCTTGGGGCATACGTGTAACTCACTCCATGGCTTTTCTAAGGTACTCGTGAAACACAATGGTTTCCAAAATATATGGAAATGCAGGCTCGAGGTAAAATTCAGAAGGTGTTATTCCCTAACAGAGTGGTCATATTTTTGGTCCAAAATGTAAATGATAGGGCAAGGTGTGGTTATGTATAAAAATGGCAATTTCATACGGTTCAAACTAAATCAGTAACACAGATGAAAGTATGGCCTATAATTTTCATTTCTATGACATTTTCCATTGCCAATTATTTTCCATTGGTTGATGATACTATACAGTCGTCATTGTCCATATGTCTATATATTCAGGGCTTTTAGATGTTAATCTCATAGCTGGCACATCCCAGCTACACTTCTCAATGTTTGCATTGGATTACAAATGAGTGGGCAGTAGGCTTGAATATTTATGTTGTTTACATAGTGACTATGTGCACTTAATGGGTAAGCATATCTTATTCTAAAATCAAAATTATTGGGAATTTGGAGAAGTTACGCACATAGCAGGATTCTGGCTGGCCAGAGCAGGAATGGTTATTTTGTATAAGAATAGTTGTCTTTGGTCTTGTCCAATGGCAGAATGCAGCTGGTACACTGGTTGTCCCCAGTTATTTTTCTGACAAATTTCTTCTAATATCTACAAGAGTAAAAAAAAAAAAAAAAAGCAATATCCCCCTTAAATGTCACATTTGCATTATTTCTCCAGTTCTCAGATTTTTAAACTCTGATCTTCAGAGTTTATACTAATATGAGAAGATATAAAATGCCACATGGTTTAATGACTCATGAAATTTAAGATGAACTCAATTTGAACTCCATTTAAAATATTATGTTGAATACTTCATAAAAATCATTTTCACACCATTTACTTTAATATGTTTTTAGTTTAGTCCATTAGCTGTAACTTTTTACCAAGAGCTTAATTTTATAGTTTGGTTGGTATATTTATTCTATTTTTAAAAGTTGATGCTAATGCTCCAACATAGTTTGGATAGATCTACTCATTATTACTCCCAATATCACTGTTTATAATGGTTGAGAGAAGATAATCTAAGAATATATTCTTATTTCATGTCATTTGTTTTAGATTTTGAATCATACATTTTCATAATAATACAGTAAAAATGTTTAATGGGTCAGTATTTATTGATGAACACCCATTCATAGATGGGTGTTGACAGTTGCAACTTTTTAAAAAATGTGTTTGGTAAGACACCACTTTGGGCTATTTCTATGATAATCTGTTTTGTAGCATTCTCCTACATGTTTTTTTAAATTTCTCCTTCTGTAATTACTACAAACTAAATCTTTTCTAAAGACTCAGATTTTCTTCATCCCATAACCATTTTTAGTGGTCCTGAAGTCCTGATGCTTCCTTTAGTCAACAGATTGAGTATACTGTGCAAAACAGGACACAAGGCTGAGAAAATAACTGTGAGACTGAACAATGCCCCAAGATGTGTCCCCGGAGTTTCTTATCTCATTTGTTCTAACATTAGTCTAACTGTAATACCATGGCATTTTCCAGTTTATTAATTTGTAGATTGCTCCTATTTTCTCTATTAACTTTTTCTTTTTAATACTCTTTTAGCATCTCTTATCATCTACAAAGCATTCTCTAGAGTTCCTAGGCAATAATAAAGTAGCTTTTGCTGGCAAATACTGTACCTGCCTGTCTATGCCAGGTGAGCAAACAGGTGCTCAAAGTGCAGCCACTCTAACTGCTGACTTCGTGGGGCAGCACCTGTGCCTCTGCCCTTCTGGTTGGAAGTTCACAACTCTACTATGGGGTAGTTTAGGCTCCATCTACGTTGGTTGGGGGTAGTATGGTTTTCAATTTCTAGGCCATAGTTGTAAAATATTCACAGACAAATGAAAGAGCTTTCATTGATAGAGATCATTACTCACATATTAATAGAAAGAATGACCAGTTAACTTCTCACCTGAGTTCAATGTAAAAAGAAGAGATCTCTTCTTATGCTATAGCAGCTTTCAAAACTATTATACAGAATGTGTGATTATTGTATTTTTTATTTTCTTAAAAATTTCTAGGTATTTTAGTACTTTAATGAGGTTCTTTATTTGGGGTTGTAACCCGAGAGAGATTGGATGACTAGCTTTTGTATTTTCTGAGCAAGCTCCGTCACATCACTTATCAGATCTCATTATAATGATCTATTTAGGTATCAGATCCCCCACTGGATTGCCATGTAATTTTTGATGGTAAAGATTTTGTTACATTCACTTTTACATCTTCAGCATGTAGCACAACACATGGTGCATAAGAGAAGCCCAATAAATGCTTTTTGAACAAACAAGTGATTATTGTTTAGCACTCTGGTAGGCATTCTCTTTTTTTTAATTGCCTGGGTAGAGTGAGCAGAAACCTTAGATGAATGAATTTGTGTGTCAGAGGAAACCATTAAGACCACCACCACCAACAATAATGACAACAAAATACCCAGGATAAGCTTTTAGAAAACCATGCGTTTTTCTTGATGGATTGCAATCATAAGGGCTACTTCCAAAAATGTGAGGCTTATATATTTGCCATAGGAGTAGGGAAGTTTCCTTCAGGACACTATAACTGTGGTTATTCAGCCAAACTGTATTTCAGAGAGATCAGCATATATTCCCTGCACACCCACAGGGAAAACGTCTAAGGCTTAACAGAGATCCTGTTTTGCTTTATTTTTAACCTTGGTATTCAGTTTCCATACTGGAACAAGTTTTATAACTTTTAATTTCCCAATAATAAAAACCACAGCCTCATGCAGAAACATAGACATTTAGAAGTGTTAAATGAAAGCAGTAAAAATTCACCATAATGCCACTTCCCAAATATAACCATTGTAGAAGACAATTTGATGTGACTGATGGCACTTCATAGTTAAAGATTTACTTAGATATCATGGTGGGGCTTTCTCTTAGACACAGTATTTCCAAGAAAAGATGTCCTAAATAGATTATTCAGAGTTCTCTGTCATGAATATTCTTCATTTGTCAGTCATCCCGGCTCATACATAATAGGCTTACACACATCTTATTCTGAGATGGGGTCTTTGCCTCATTTGATTTCCATTTAAAATATTGGTTGATAATTTTTAGTAGCTTTCAGGCTATTTGCTTTTCAGTGGAAGATAATTTAAGGTTTTAAACTTTATGATTGAAAAAATGAAAGGGCCTATAATGGAATAATGCCACTGAAGGCTCAGCATTCCCTCAAAGTACATCATGTCGATTGGCTACTTTATCTATTAACACACACACACACACACACACACACACACACACACACACACACACACACTAGCTCAAGTTAAGGATTAAATCAAATCATTTGCTGAATGGTGAGTAATGGTCATTGTGTCAACTTAGAAAACTATCTCTAGAATAATATTACCTACCTGGGGTGCAAGTTTAATTCCTTGGGGTTTTAGAGTGACAGGATTCATTGGGGTGAGCTCCATACCCGGTAAGATGTCATAGAGCTTCTCTTCTCTTTTCTCTCCTTTAACGGAGTATCCACGACCCAGGCCTGTGTATGCCAAATAGCCACGGCCGCCCAGTCCTCTCACTCCCGCAGCCCCTACAGGTACATTCATGTAAATTTCTAGGAATGTAAGAAGGCATCAAGCTGAATCAAACCACCAGAAAATCACCCCGAATCTTACTGTAATGGAAAAGTTAGCCCATGTCACACTGATTACTGCCCTGAAGATGGGTCGGAAACTCTAGGATTCTAACATAATGAAGCTCAGCATAAGATTAGGTTCACCATCTTGCTCTCTCTCTTTCTCTCTCTCTCTCTTAAACTACCTGTGGGAGAAAACAATACCATCAAATCTATGGATAAGTACACAAACAATTTAAAAATTTTGGCACAGAGAGAAATTTTGCGATTTCCATTTTCAGTTAACCTTTTGTTGACATTTTCTGTAGACTAATAGAGGCTGGGAATGTGTTTATTAAGACATTCCAACATAATATGACTCCTTGTATTGAAAGCAGTCTTGTACAGAGACTGTCACTGATCGGTAAATGAGAAATGAATCCTAGCTTCCCCAGTGATCCCACCTCCAATGATTTATTGGAAAGCCAACATTTAGAAAAGTATGTTTTTAAGTTCACCATCCTCTCTCATATGTTCTGTCAATGTGAGGCTTAAATTTCCATTGTGTTTCATGCATAGATTCCTTTTGATTATTGTTGTGCCATGTTGCTACTTTGATTTCCTATTGGTGGCATAAAGAGATAAAAAATTAAGTTGATTACCCTTCATCCATGAATATTATTCATTGATTCCTTTCTTGTTATAAGATAGGCATTTTTTTCCATTAGAGTGGAGTTTGGTTTTTTTTTTCCACATCACAACTGGTCAACAACTTATATTTAATGTATGGGTTGATTAATGATATGATTTTATATTATAAATACATAATATTTCAATGACACAATTTGTCATCATATAGATAGGTTATCCTAAAGGAAATCCTGATGACTTCTTTTGCATTACAATTTCTGGGAAAGTGATTGTATTACTAGAGGTCTTTGGATGGTCAATTCTGTTCTCTTGAAAAATAGCAAAACACAGTTAAGATAATTGTTTCCATAACAATCTGGATGTGCCCTTTGCTTCTAAGTCAAACCCAAGAATATATTAAAACACACTGTTTGTTTGTTGAATTGCCCAGATTTGGTATCAGATTTGGAAGATAGAGCTGGAGTTCTGTAGGCATTAGCCACATCCTAGAACAATCAGTCTGAAGGAGCCCAAAAGGCAGAGACAAACTATCAATAGTTTCTTGGAAATAAAACATGCTTTCCTTATCTTCTAGATTGCTTAAACTAATTGAGATTGGAAAACTGCTTAACATCTAAAATTCATAAAGGATTCAAATGTGAAATATTTACTGTCTGGCAGTCAAATTGAATTTTTTTTTTCTACTTGGAGTTTATTTCCCCATATACCAAAGAAAAAGTCAATTTCCTTAATAGTTTGGCTTTTCCAAAGGTCCAACACATCAGATAAGAGCATCTGATATATCTGGGCAGGTCAGATGAGAACATTAAACTATATTTATGATAATTTGTGATATATATATATATATATATATAAAGGTGATGCCACTGAATCACCATCATATACACATGTACCTTGAAATGTTTTTGCTATTTGAGGTAATTGATTTCCATCGTATTGGACTCATTACTGTGAGTCAATGGAACTTCCATTCCATTACTACTTTCCCCTGAAAGTGTTGTAATGAGTCAACAGAGGACTGCAAGCTGGTCACCTAATGATACAAAAGAAGTTAACATTTATGAAACTAGGTTTTAGTTTGAACAAATTTTGTGGGCCCATGCAAAGATCAAATTTGTACACTAGGCTCATATGCACTATGTTCTGACCAAGTTTTTTCAATAACCAGTTGTAATGTGAAAAAATATTCCTATGGAAAAAAAATATTCATATAATATTTGATTTTTAATAAACAAATTTCCAGTCCTTTTCTCCCAGTGGACCCATCCAATTTGTCTAAGGCTATTGCAATACAAATCATTTGAAATCTTGGGGTTACTCTAAGGCAAGAGCTGACTGATGTTACCTCTAACAGAAGGGGCTCGGATAATGGCCCTGTTGCTGAAGTGTCCTTTGGTGGCTGGAAAATGAAGACTGGGAATTGCTGTATAGGCCTGGGGGGCATAGAAGATAGGAGCTCCAAGGTAGGTTGTGGTGGGGTCATAAACATGGCCCAAAGAGTAGGTGTACTCTCCTTGCAGTGTGGTGCCCCTTCCACCTGTGCCTCGGGTGTACCTAACATAACTGTCCTTGTCTACTGGTTTGGCTAGAGTCACTTCAATGGGAGACCCATCCAGCACCTGTCATAAAGAACAAGGAAGAAGCAACATGAGACAATAGGAAAACAACCAACTGTGGCTGATACCTAATAACATGTCTTTTTCTAAGTGTTAGACTGTTTGCTGTATATTTCCTGACTGTTTCAATTATTTGTAACTTGGCTCTTTGTAGGTTTGGGTTTGTGTGCCAGTTGAATTTTCTCTGAGTGGTTTTCTTAGTAAGTTGCATAAGATGCCAACAGGTTTGACAGTGACATATTGGCCACTGTCCATTGACATGTTGGTTATAAATTTATAATCTGGATATAGTCACTGAGACAGCAAGTTATGTAGTATTTTTTATGATATATATTTTAAATTACATGTTTATATTATCTTCAGTCATGACTTGAGGAAGTTGAGACACCCAAATAGGTCTCTGCTTATAGGTAATTCCATATCAAGAGATGTTCTGAATGGAATTATTCTTTACTATGATATCAGATTTCTTATTGTAATAGATTTTGTTCTGCATTTCTCTGACCCATCCAACAGCATTTTAAACTCAGTATTGTATTTTAGTTACTTGGTCTAGATATTTCAAGAGCTAGGACAATATCTTATTAATCTGAATAGCCCAAGCCCAGAAAAATTTGTTTCATTTCATAGACTTCCAAAAATATTTATAGAATAAATTGATAATCACATCCCAAACTCAATTCATCACAATTCTTTCCAAATAGGCTTCCCTTCCTGACTTTCCTAACAGTCTCTCATGTTGTAAACTTATAAGGACTTGTTCTTCTTTGCACCACAATCACCAATCAATTTCTGGGCCCTATGAATTCATCCCCCAGAGTTCCATAAGAGCTCTCTCTTATGTTTCATTCCCACCTTAGTTCAAGACCTTATTTTGTTCCATTTGGCTGACTGTAATAGCTTTATAACCAGTTTCCATTACATCTTTCTCTCACCTCTATAATAAGTCAATTCTTATTAGGTTAATTTCCCTAAATTGTAACTGTGATCATTACTCTCCTGCAAAAAAAAAAACTCTACAGTCTCCCTTTGTCTAATAAATTAAATATAAATATCCATATACATACTGAAATGCTTTCATGGTTCTAGAAAAATGTACTTCTGATTTTTCTATACCACATTATGGTTAAATATAATATTTAGTATAATATATTTAAATATATATAATATATTTAATATAATAATATTAAATATATATTTAACTACATAGTAAATGTAAACATTGCTACAAAATATATAGCTGTAAGAATTGGGAACAATTTGAATACTTTTCTGTTGTAATTATTCCAGTGTAATTATTTAGCATTTAATTTATGATTGGCAGCCATCATGTATACTGAGGAATATTTCCAAATAGAGCAAATCCAACTTATAAATTATATTCAAAGTAATACAATTTTTAAGATACTACATGATCAATGAAGATGAAATAATGTTTTATAGACATGTATTTAAATATGCATTAGTTTTTGCTCTGCAGTCTTCTTTTGATATTTCAGAGCCATTACTTTCTTTTCCCTGATACTCAAACGTATTTGAGTTTGAGCCAGCTCATGAAGAGCTCATGTGCTGGAGGCCCCACTGTGTCTGACGGACCTGGGTTAAGGGATCCTCCTTTTTCCCTCTAGATCCACTCCCCAATAGTTCCAGCCTGCTGTCTGCTCTGGGAGGCTACTCTACATGGGGTCCTCTTCAGGGTTCTTGGGTCTTCTGGATTATGCTGGATTTAGCCTATGGGGAACACTGGTAGGGGTTGGAGAAAGATATAACAGTGAGTTTGGGACATTTATTCTCCTGGCTCCCTCTTTGAGAGGTTCCCTTGGGCTGGCTGTGTCCCTTGATCAAAGATCACTACTTCTTTCAAAGAGACCTGCTCTGCACAATTCTTCACCCTTTTAGGATTCATGTTAATTCTCCATGTTAATTCTCCTTTGACTCCAGAAATGCTGTAAACTCCAGGTCCCTGCATTCTCTTTTGATTCCCCTACTCCCCATTCACACTTTTGTAATTGGGTCCTTTGCCATGTGTTTTCTACTGGGGCCCTGACGGATGCAAGATCCAATGTACGTGCACTAAGCACCAAGCAAATTGCTCTACATTTTATTGTTTTCCAATCTTTTCTTGCTCTTTTCAAATTTTGTGCCTCTAAGACTGCCTATCCTTTCCATATTTTGTCTCTTGAAATTATGCCCTATGTTCATAGCTTCTCTTACGTATTATCTTCTCACATCCATGAAGATTTTTTGATTCATGACCCACTTTTTCTTTTGAATTTTCTCACCATTTTTCTCTCTTTTTATGATACTTTCCTGCCCATACTTTGCACAGGTGTTTGTGTACTTGTCTTATTGCTCCAACAGATTTTAGCTTGTTGACTAGTCATCTTTGGTTTGGATTTTTTTTTTGTATCCCAGATATTAGTAGCATGATAAGTGGGCTACAGAAGGTTTTTAATGTTTATTGAATTGATATGTAAATATTATACTGGTTTCTATACACAAATTTGTAGTAAGGATATAGAAGCTAGTTTTTCCCCAGATCTTACTCTGGGTAAGGTGAGAGATTCTAGGCTTTCCAGAGTTGATAGGTCAAACTCTGAGGGTAGTACAACAGCTATTTTGACATGTTTTCTGATCATCAGCCTCTAAAATACTATACTATAAATATGTTAATCTCTTTGAAGTAATAAGAGAAAATTGGAATTGGGAAATTGGGTGTTTCAAAAACACCTTGAAATAATCTCCTCCAAATCCCTCTTCTAAGGAAATTGAAGGCCAGTGACTTGTCCAAATTAGAAAAAATTAGAGGTAAAGTTGGACATATTAGGCACATCTCTATTCTCCACTGTTCTTTCCATCATTTTCGTGTATCTTAAATGACTGAGGCAGCCACATCAGAGATGTAGAAAGCTGGAGTGAGCTAGACTTGCAGGAATGCTCTTTAGAGTACAATGTCCACACCAAACATAGATGGAACCTATACATATTTTTTCTTTGTCCTACATTACCTTCCCATTTAAAGCTTTCATAGCCTCAACTGCATCTTCTCGGTTACTGAAGTGCACAAAAGCATAGTCTCGAATTTTCTTCACCCTCTCCACAGCACCTGTAAATGGAGTGAAAGTAGCCCCATTAGCAAACTTGAGATGGCACTGAAAATGATATCTTTTAGCACCTAGCTTCCAAGAGTTTTGATTTTTTTTGAGACCCAATATTTAAGTAAGGATCTCATCAAGAATATTTCCTATGTCCAGGTTTAAAATTCTACACATTCACATATAGTAGTAACATTCATTGGGTGTCTGGCAGGTGGGAGGGGAGAGGAACTGAACATGTTGATTGCAACATGTAAAAATTTCTTAAAAAGTTGTACCAAGATAGTTGAATGTTATATTTTTAAAATATTGTTATTTACCCAATTTTAAAAATAGACCTTTTGTTTAGAGGAAAGGTAAAGTGGAAACCTGTTTAACCACTATCAGTTTAGCATGCCAATTTTTCTCTTTTAGCTTACACTCATTTGGGTGTATTTTAAGAGGCCAGGGAGGGGAAAAAAAGAGAAAGTCCTCTTCTTTCTGTCCCTATAAAAAGTCTAGTTATCCCCTTAGATTTGAGGCCACAAGGCAATTAGAGTTTCTGCTCTACCACATGGTTCAATGACTATAAATATCTTTTTTGGGGAATAATAGTTGGCCCATAGTATAATGATAATTTAAAAACATTTTGATACTTCTCTTTTTATTCCCCTCAGCATTCAACCGTTGACTTCTTATGATAATGGTTATACCGAGCAAAATTGTCTGGCCAGTCTGAGAAAATAAATGAAGGTATCTGAGACCATGAAGCATGAGACATTTAATTAACTGAACATCCAATATGGTCTCTCTTTCTTTCAGTGTCAGGTAGAGTGATTATTGTGATTCAGCCTCATGGCGTGTCTTGGTAATTGATAAGGAAGAGATCAGCCAGTGATGACCTCCACCTTAACTAGTCTTTGTTCATTCATACTTCAGTGTCATTTTCCACGTAGGCCCCCCTAATCTGTTAGCTCCCTGAGAACAGGATCTGCTTCAGAGACATCTTAGTACTAATATCATCTTCACCCAGTTCCTGCCTCCTGCCTTGGACACAGGGGCTACTCAATAAACACATGGACTGAGGGGATATTGTTTAGTCAATTTACACTCCAACTTTTTTTTTTTTTTTGAGACAGAGTCTCACTTTGTTGCCCAGGCTAGAGTGAGTGCTGTGGCGTTAGCCTAGCTTACAGCGACCTCAATCTCCTAGGCTCAAGCGATCCTACTGCCTCAGCCTCCCAAGTAGCTGGGACTACAGGCATGTGCCACCATGCCCGGCTATTTTTTTTTTTTGTATATATATTTTTAGTTGGTTAATTAATTTCTTTCTATTTTTAGTAGAGACAGGGGGGGGGTCCCTCTAAGGCTGGTTTCGAACTCCTGACCTCGAGCAATTCCCTCGCCTCGGCCTCCCAGAGTGCTAGGATTACAGGCGTGAGCCACCACGACCGTCCACACACTCCAACTTCTATCATCCACACCAGCTATATGGCATTTAAGATGATAATGAATTTAGGTGTTCTGAAATTCAGATATTTGAAATCATCTTGCATTTTTGAATAACAATGCTCAAACATACCTGCTTTTGGAAAACGTAATATATGAAAATTTAGCCTCATAGAACAGAAAATTTAGAAAGTTAGAGTTAGTGGCATAAAAGCTGGTTTTCTCTACAGTAGTATTCACCATGTGGTAAAGAAGAAAAAGATCCCTCTGAAATAATGATACAGGGAATTGGAAAAATATCACTGTGTTTGTTATCGACTTGTCAGCAACACATCAGTTTCCTGAAGAGAAACACACCTGCCACCTGCCTGGCAAGGGAAAGCTCATCAAAGGGTCATGTTTCTCTGACCAGCAGGATCAGCTTCACCTGGGAGCTTAATAGAAATGCAAATACTTGAGCCCACCCTAGATGGGGCAGGTAATCCTTATTTTAACCAGGTGATTCTGATACTGCCAAATTGTTGTAGGAAAATCAGATTTTGTAGAATAGCTATAACTGGAACTTCAGCAGATACCCCTCTGGCTACATTGGGGAAGAACAAGCATTTCCAGGCCCCAGTTTTTGTTCTGATTTTCATTTGTTTCTCTGCATGGCAATATAATACTTTTCAAGTTAATCATGGTTAAAATGACATATGGTCAAATGTTTGGAGGGAATATGCAGGATCCTCTGAGGGATCTAAACTTTAAATAGAATTTTTAAAGAGTCATTTTCCTATTTCTCTCCACAAATTTTTTAGATAAGTATAGCCTTGAAATAATACATTCTTTCCGCTGGAAAAGAAACTAGTTAGCTCTGCTTTTACCTCTTAACGTGGGAGATGTGTCTGCTAGTTGTCCACACTCTGCAATTCATATTCTTTTGCAGAGTGCTGAATAGGACAAGCCACATAGTAGAGCCCTGAGAGTTGTTCCAGCAGCCCCAGGATGGGCCCTGGAATTGCTGGACACACATTAGGCCCAATAGAAAGACAGAGGGAGATGTTGGGAAGACTCTTTCAGACATCAGCCTAGGCAAAGAATTCGTGAAGAAGACCCCCAAAGCAATCACCACAGCAACAAAAATAAACAAATGGGATCTGATCAAATTAAAAAGCTTCTGCACAGCCAAGGAAACTATCATTAGAGCAATAGACAACCTACAGAATGGGAGAAAATATTTGCTCTCTACACTTCCGATAAAGGTCTGATAACAAGAATCTATCTAGAACTCAAAAGAATTAACAAGAAAAAAATCAAACAACCCCATCAAGAAATGGGCAACCAAAATGAACAGAAACTTTTCCAAAGAAGACAGAATAATGGCCAGCAAACATATAAAATAATGCTCAACATCTCTAATCATTAGAGAAATGCAAATCAAAACCAAAGTGAGATATCACCTAACCCCAGTAAGATTGGCCTCTATCAAAAAATCCCCAAACAACAAATGCTGGTGAGGATGTGGAGAGACAGGAACACTCTTGCACTGCTGGTGGGACTGCAAATTGCAACCTTTGTGGAAAAGAATTAGGAGATACCTCAAAGAGCTAAAAATAGAAATATCATTCAACCCAGCAATAGCATTATTAGGCATCTACCCCAAAGAGCATAAGACATTCTATTATAAAGACATCTGCACCTGAATGTTTATGGCAGCACGATTCAGTATTGCAAGAACGTGGAAACAACCCAAGTGCCTGTCAATTCATGAGTGGATTATTAAAATTTGGTATATACTTACAATGGATATTCCTCAATTCTAAGAAATGACAGTGAGCTAACACCGTTTATATTATCCTGGATTGAGCTTAAGCCGATTATCCAAAGTGAGGTGACATAAGATAGGAAGAATGGGCTCCACATGTACTCACAATCAAATTGTTACTGACTGATTAACACTATTGTGCTCAAATGGTGGTGGTGTTCACCAGGGATTTGGGGGTTGGGGGAGGTAGACCCACATCTGAGGGATGTGGTGAGCATTGTGGAGGGGAAGGGCATACCTCTAACCCTAGCTAGGGAGAGGAAAAGATATAAAATATAATCAAAATGTTTGTTCTCTCATATTTTCTTGAAATAAAAAAAAGAGAGAGGGAGAGAGAGAACGAAGGAGAGAAACAGATTTGGTGTTTATTATTTTCATTATAATTAATAGATCTGGGTGCATCTCTCTCTTCAATATGTCAATATGCAGCCTGGGAAAGTTGATGACCAACGGCTACAAAAGGAAGCAGCCTTTTAGTAGTTTCTCATTCTAGCCCTTTTCAAAAAAGGCTACTGTTTTAGTTAGATAGATAGGAAGTATTAGTCACTGTGGGAAAGCAGAAAGTCAACACAGATTGAGGCGAGGACAGTGAGCGATATTTACACACACACATACCAGTTCCTATGCCTACCACTACATCAACGTTCAGATATCAGCTTTCATGTCAGTTAGAAACATGAGTCTTCTCCGCACTCCAAGAGTAAGCCTAGCTGTTATTTTTCTGGAACATTTTAAACTCTTTCCATGTGTACATCTTACTCTGTTCCTTCTACGGTGCCTGGCACATAGGAACTACTGTGTTTCCCCAAAAATAAGACAGGGTCTTATATTTATTTTTTCTCAAGAAGACCCCCTAGGGCTTATTTTCAGGGGATTTTTTTTTAAGTACGGTACAACAATCTACATTTATTCAAATATAGTTAAGTCGTCTTCTTCTGGAACATCATCATAACTCTCCAAACCCCGAATTCCATCCTGAATTTCTTGCGACTCTATTTCCTTTAGAACCATTGGCCCCAATCTCTCATGTCGAGCAATAGAGCTCTCATTAAACGAGCAGGTCTTATCCATGTAACCTGCTTGGAGTGAATTGGTAACATCACTGTTAGTGATTTTATCCCATGAATTCTTCACCCAAATCATGACCTCTTGCAGGCTAGGCTTCACAAAGTTTCCACGCTAATTTCTTGTCATTCTATTTTCAATGTAGTCGTTAATTTCCATGCACAAATGGTCTTTGAATGGCTTATTTATTGCAATATCAAGGGTCTGCAGATAGGCAGTCATTCCTGCAGGAATCATTATTTGATCTATTCTTCTTTCTGCAAGGAAGTTCTTCATGTCTTTTGGATGGTGAGTGTTGGCTGAATCCCAGATTAGCAGACCTCTTTGGCCACCTTGCAAAACAAGTGGCGACATTAAATCAAGCCACTTCCTTATAACTTCTTGTGTGCACCAGGCTTTTTCGGTTTCAAGAACATAAATGTTGGAAACATATTCAATCTTATCTTTCTTGCCCTTAGTGATGATAAGAGGTGTGATTTTCTTTCCATCCAGACAAATTGCCAAGATACAGGTAATGTGTGAACTTTCGTGACCAGTGGAGGGAACGTAGATTGAGGAGGCACCCCTCTGTTCAATTGTCGTTTGGGGTCCTTGACTCATAAACACTGCAGTTTCATCCATTGTGGTGCCATTGCAAGGGCAAATCTTTGCATATCAGCCCTGCGCACAACCAAAGCCTTTGCTCTCCTGTCAGCAATCCATTTACCGATCATGTCTTCCAGCTGGGGAAATAAAGGTTGCCAACCTGAACCACACTTGCACTTCTTAGCATTTCCTCTATCCACATGTAGACTGAGGTTATCGTATTCTGCGCGCCATTTTGGGGCCAATTCAGGTATCCAACTTCTTCTCTTTGCAGAAAGCCGTACGATTCTTGCCCTTGGAGTCCTCCACAATATCTTTCTTATACTTAACAGAATAACTCTTTCTTTTTGCACTCATCTTGTCTGGAGGTACAGATACTCAGGAAAAGCAGAGCTAGGCCAGCAAAGCTGATGTGTAAGGGCTGGCTTATTTATCAGAGATCCAGTGAGCACTAGGTCCAATCTGCACAGTGGAGCAGAAATGATCTCTCTGAGCTCAGTAGGAGACTGCTTGCTGAAGCTTTTCCCCTATCCCCTGGTGTTTGTGGGGGGTGAGAGAGGCCCACAGTGCTGAGTAAAATGCCAGCCACAGCTTTCCTTCTCCCCGCTGGGGACACACAATACCTAAAGCGGAGTGTCCCGCTCCTCATTTCACTGAGGAGACTTTCCCCCTCAAAGCCTCAGCCTGCAGCACGCACAGGATGGCCGGGACCTGACATGGGGAGCTGACCTTGGTGGTGGGGCTGCCCGCACCTTTCCAGTCACCTCTGGGATAGTAGCTGTCACGATGGGGCAGATGAGAAGGGCTGCTCGTCCTCTTTACCACTCCGAGATGAAATGCATGGGTTGTGCAGATATGCTGCGTAGCCACGCCCATCACTAGGTCTTATTTTGGGGGTAGGGCTTATATTGTGCAAATGCTTAGAAATCCTGTTAGGGCTTATTTTATGGGTAGGTCTTATTTTCGTGGAAACATGATACTAACGGAACAATATTTGGATGAATGAGTGAATGAATGGATTCAGGATGGCATGGGGGCCATAAGTTGTTAAGAACATGACCTTAACCAAATGTGGAGTCAAATCTTGGATCTGTCACCTGCTAGCTGTGTGACCCTGGGCAAGATAATTAACTTCTCTCTGTGTCCCAGATTTTTTTAAAATCTAGAAAATAATGGAACTAATAAAGTAACCTATGTTATAGGGCTGTTGTGATGAATAAATGGCACATGCTGTGAAAGTGCCCACTGCAATGCTTGGCACATAGTGAGGCAGCCAGTCATTTGCAGTTTCTATAGTGGACATGGATTCATAACTGTTGGCATGGAGCCACAGCATTATCCTAAAATGTCAAGGAAGAAAGAGTACTTGAGGCTAGAGCAAGAGATTTTTGGTGAATCTTTAAAAAGGGAGAAATAACATATTTACTTATTACCTTCACAGTGAATCATCAACTTATCGTTCTGTTATACCTGAGAGAGCACCCAGAGTTGGAAACAGGCAACATGAGTATGTGAAATGAATATTCTCAGGTGGGTTTATCATGATAGCACCATGGCACATGCTTATCAACAATTTGCAGAATTTGCCTGGAGACTGAGAAATTCACAGTTATGAAAGGATGATGTACTGAGATAAATCTAGGCCAGTATTGCCCAGAGTGTGTTCCAAAGCACAATAATCCCACAGATGGTCTGCCAAAAAGGGAGATCCATGCTCCAAAAGTGGGAATTTGGGCATCCTATATCTTTTCTTAGACACTTGCGAAGCATGTTAGAAGGTTAAGGACTCTGATAAGTTCCATAATAAAGAAATCTGTTTACTTTTGCAGAATCTGGTGTTTACAAACTTATGTGATCATGGAGCCATTTCATCAGTGACTTCTACTAAAAGTTTGTAGAATTAGTGTTCTGAATTGGTTTGGGGAAACACTCATTTGAACATTGTTCTCAAAATGCTTTCCTTGTCTCAGAAGTGTGGCTCCTATATGGAGAAGAAAGAGGTGGGGAGTCAATGTTATGGTTTAGAATTGATACTGAAAAGTATTGACAAGATGAATAGCAACTAATTATCGCCTCTACCTTCCCTCTATTCCTGTCCCTCCCTCTTCACTCAAATACGTTTCTTAGGATTGTTACCTCCTTATTTATATACCTAAAGTCATAAGCATATTCCAGTGGTTCTAAACTGGAGGAATTTTTCCTGTCACCAGGGTACATCTGACAATGTCTGGAGATATTTTTGGTTGTTACATCTTGGAGGTGGGAACTGGTAACAATGGGTAGTAACCTGGGATGCTGCTAAACATCCTACAGTCCACTGAACAGAACATCCCCAAGCCAAAGTTATTTGTTCCAAAATGTCAATAGTACCTGAGGTTGAGAAACCCTGCATTAGACCTATATCTATGGTCATGCATTCATTAATACAATAAGTATTTATTGAGCAATTATTGTGTTCCAGGCCCACAGACTGAATGTCTCAGGATGAAGGAGACAATAAGAGGAAAAAAGAACTCATGGAATTTACAGTTTAGTGAAGAAAATATGTATTCATTAAATAATCACACAGTTAAGTATAAAATTATAATATTGATAAATCTTGTAGGAGCATAAGTTCCTATTTTCTAATCCAAAGATAGGAATTCCTATAGGAATAGATAGGTTTGAGTAGTTTGCATGCAATTTTGAGAATGAGCTAAATAAAAGCTATCCTTATTTAAAGTTATGGGAAGTTATCTTAAGTGTAAGTGCTTTTAAAGTACATTTTGAAATAGTAATCTTATATGTATATCCCACCTGGTTTAATATTGTTGAATTCCTTTTCAATCATCTCTTCAGAGGTAGACAGCATAAGGTTTCTGACGTACAGGATTTTCACTGAAGACATTGTGTCCTCGTCAACTTCTACTTCTGGCTCTGCCCAGTCCACTGCAATAGGATGTCCCCATAACTGAATTCTTCCTGTTGAAAATGATCACAAGTATGATTAATTATGTAGAAATCAGGACAATATCATCTTAGTTTATACTGATGACCTTTTAAATTGAACTGAACTTGAGGTCTTGAATGAGCAAGAAGATCGATAAAATGAGTGATTATTGCTTTTAAGAAACATTTCAAATAAATACAGGAGTTGGCTAGAAGGGAGTTACATGTGACTAGTGGCTTATAATGATTGAGTATAAAGAGAACCAGGATGTGGTTTGAGATGGAACAGACATGAGGCAGCAGTGGGTATGTTTGGCTCTTAGGATAGCTCTCACAGGTAGTCAGTTGAGGTGAGACAGCAAAAGGGAGAAAGGAAAAGAATGGATTTAGGGCTCAGACATAGAGTCTGACTCCATAGAACATTAAAAAAGTTACTAGGAAGTGTGTCTGCTGCTGGTGGAATCTGTGTTGTTACATTGACCAGGTCCCACCACTGAGATGTCCAAAAAATGGTGCTTGAGTGGGGATCTGGGGGGTTAGAGAGTGGGGAGGGCTCAGTCATCTCTAGTTTGTTCTTTGTTCTTTGCATTTGGTCAGGGCTCAAACTGTGGTTCCTCCTAATCTTCTGTCACAACATGGATAACTTGGGAATGTAGAGAAAAATTTTTTAATCAAAATTAAGAAGACATATGTAGAGCAGACGAGTCTGATGAGAAATTTAACTCTTAATAAAAGGATAATTGTTATCCAGGACTGCAAATATTTTTGCATTCCTATAATTACTATTTGCTGAGTGTCTTGTGCATGTTTCCCATGTACTATCTCAGTTCCTTCTCACAGTAACCCAGTGGGGAGGGAAATGGCTCCCTATTATATAGAAGAGGAAATGGGCTTTAGAGAGGATAACTTGCCCAGATCTGTTTCATTTTACCACCTTTCCACTTTGGTTTTTGATACTCAGCTCCTATATCCATAAACAGTGCAGGTCCTGTTGAAGTGATGAGAGGAGAGTGAGAGTCAACTCAAATTCTAAATTTCATTGGAAATCTAGCTTTTTTTTATTAATTGTTTGGGAACAAGCTACAAAGTTTGAAAGAACAAAATCAAGAATTCTTAGTATTGGTAAGGGTTTAGTTTAATTATTACATATGTGAGGCAATTAATTTCAATCAAAATACATCTTTTTATTCCTTAAAATACAGTCAATGAAAACATCTGGGTATTGACATGCTAAACCCCAAAGGAAGAATTGACACATCCTAATGGGTTAGCTGATCCCAGATAGGCTGGTTCCTCATTGCCTCCCAGGGGCTGGTTTTCTTCATTACTGTCTTCCCTTCACTCTTCTCTCTTCCCTCTTCCTACCACTTCTCTTCCTTTTCTTTTCATTCCTTTTCCTTTCCTTCCCTTCCCTTTCTATGCTGTATAGAGACTTTGCTGTTTGTCTTATCCCAAGATCCAAGTCTCCCAGCTAACTGTTTTCTGTAGCCCATACTGGATGAGCTTTTAAAAATACTGAAACCTGGTTTCCACCCAGGTGATGTGCTGGAGCCAGTCCCTATCCACTTGCAAGAATAGATTTTTAAATTTTTAGATTTTTTTGCTTCCCAGCTTTATTAAGATATGATTGACTGGCCCGGCACGGTGGCTCACTCCTGTAATCCTAGCACTCTGGGAGGCTAAGGCAGGCTGATTGCTCAAGGTCAGGAGTTTGAAACCAGCCTGAGCAAGAGCGAGACCCTGACTCTACTAAAAATAGAAAGAAATTACTTGGACAGCTAAAAATATATATAGAAAATTTAGCCGGGCATGGTTGTGCATGCCTGTAATTCCAGCTACTCAGGAGGCTGAGGCAGAAGGATTGCTTGAGCCCAGAAGTTTGAGGTTGCTGTGAGTTAGGCTGACACCACGGCACTCTAGCCTGGGCAACAAAGTGAGACTCTATCTCGGAAAAAAAAAGGATATAATTGACTAATAAAAAAGTATAAATTTATGGTGTATAATATGTTTTGATACATGTATATATTGTAAAATGATTAAATGGGGCTAATTAACATATCCATCACCTTACATACTTTTTGGTGGTGAGAACATTTAAGGTCTACTGTCAGCAATTTTCAAGTATAGAGTACATTGACTGTAGCCATCATGTTGTACGATAGATTTCCAGAACTTATTCATCCTGACACTTTGTATACTTTGACCAGTCTCTTTCCATACTGCCCCTGCCCAACCCCAGGCCCTGCTAAGTACCATTCTACACTCTGTTTCTATGAATTCAACTTTTTTAGATTCCATGTATAAGTGAGATCATGCAATATTTGTCTTTCTGTGCTTGGTTTATTTCACTTAACATAATGTCCTCCAAGTTTATCCATGTTGTCACAAATGACAAAATTGTCTTCTTTTTAAAGACTGGATTATATTCCATTGTAACTAATAAACAAATTCAGTAAAGTTGCAAAACACAAAACCAACATATGGAAATCAGTAGCATTTCTATACATTAACAACAAACTATCTGAAAAAGAAATCAACAAAACAATCTCATTTACAATAGCACTCCCCCAATAGTTAGAAATAAATTTAATAAAGAAGATGAAAGATCTGTACATTTAAAACTATAAAACTCTAATGAAATAAATTGAAGAAACAAATAAATGGAAAGATATCTCATGTTCATGAATTGGAAGTATTATTATTGTTGAAAGGTTCACACTACCCAGAGCAGAGCAATCTAGACTTAATGCAATCACTATCAAAATTCCAATGACATTTTTCACAGAAATAGAAAAAAAAACCTCTAAAATTTGTATAGAACCAGGAAAGACCCTAACGAAAGCAATCTAAATACAAAGAACTAAGCTGGAGGCACCACACTATCAGATTTCAAAATATATTACAAAGGTATAGTAATCAAAACAGTATAGTACTGGCATAAAAATAGACATATAGGCCAATGTAATGGAATAGGATCCAGAAGTATATCCATGCATTTATAGTCAGCTGACCTTTAATAAAGGTGCAAAGAACGTCTAATGGTGAAAGGACAATCTCCTCAATAAATGGTATAGAGAAAACTGGATAACCATATGCAGAAGAATGAAATGGGACCTTTATTTCACACCATACACAAAAGTCAACTCAAAATGGATTAAAGCCTTACATGTAAGACCTGAAACTGTAAATATACTAGAAGAAAATATAAGGGAAAAGTTTCTTGACATAGATCTGGGCAATAATTTTTTGGAAATGACCCCAAAAGCACAGGGAACAAAAGCAAAAATAAATAAATGGGATTGCATGAAACTAAAAAGCTTCTGCACAGCAAAGGAAACAATAGACAGTGAGGAGACAACCTAAGGAATGGGAGAAAATGTTTGTAAACCATACATCTGATAAGGAGTTAATATCCATACAAATGGCCAACAGGTATATAAAAAATGCTCAGCATCACTAATCAGGTAAATACAAATATAAACTACAAAGAGGTATCACCTCACACTTGGTAGAATGGCTATTATCAAAAAGATAGAAGATAACAATGTTGGCAAGGATTTGGAGAAAAGGGAACCCTTGTACACTGTTGGTAGGAATGTAAACTGGTACAGCCATTATGGAACAAAACAAGGAGGTTCCTCCAAACATTAAAAATAGAATTACCATATGATCCAGCAATCACCCGCTGGGTATATATATAAAAAATCAGTATGGCAAGGAGATATCTGCATTCCCATGTTCATTGCAGCATTATTTACAATGAATAGCTAAATCTTTGCTATTACATAGCTAAGATATGAAATCAATATGGAATCAACCTAAGTGTTTGACAGAAAATGGATAAAGAAATTACCAGAATTTTGTGAGCCAATTGAAGTCATATTGGTGGTTTGAAATCAGCAACAGTGGGAATGTTAGTACCATTGGAAATCAGCAAATCAGGGCTTTTGTTTTTCCCCTGGGAGCTGGCTGTGAAAGATTTACCAGCTCATTACTGACCTCTGGACTGTCCTTCCCAATTCTGTTATAAGTGGCTCAGTTAATTCTAACATGCAGCCAAAGTTGAGTGCCATTGCTCTAGCTTTTCCTTCTCAGTCTGGGACCATCATAAATTACCCATGGGCCTGAATCGCTGTGTACGGCTGGAGGGAAGAGAAATGAGAGGAGGTATGGGAAGCAGTGATTCCACAGACACCTCTGCGAAGGCTCTGGTGGAAGTCAGTGTTACAGAGAGAATTGAGAAAATGGGCATTGAAGGAAGAGAAGTTCAAATATCAGAACGATGATTCTGACTAGAAAACATATCCTTTATAAAAGACAAAAAAAGATGATGCAGATAAAAGAACTTACTGTATCACTTTTAAATGGTGAGTCAGCAATACATTCTAAACCAAACCAACCAACCAACAAACAAACAAACAAACAACCAAAAATACCCCATGTACTCTCTTTTTAATATTTTTGTCAATTTTCTTGGACATATAGTTTTTTCAGAATAGAAACTCTTTGAGTGCAGTGGTTAGGTGCCATGTTTCTCAAGACTGTCCCATGTCATTTAGAAGAGAGCAATATATGTTCTAGTTGTTTAATAAGTGTTTACCAAGTGGTTCCCCAGGTGTTTCTATTTACATGCAGCACAGATGAATATCCAGTATCATCAGCTGATAGACTTAGCAGTGGATCACAGAATTTGGCTGAACAATGGAATCATCTGGAAAACTTAAAACACCTGTTCCCCGACTCTATACTCCAGTGAAGCAGAATCAATTAATTAGGAGTTGATAGGGGTACCAGTATTATTTGAAAACATCTCCAGTAATTTTAATATGCAACCTAGGATGGGCAACCACTGATTAGATCACGAGTTCTCAAATGTATGGTCTGGGGAGCAGCTGCATCCTAGGAAATGCAAATGATCTTGCTGTAAAGGCAAATGATCTGGCTCCATGCCAAACCTACTGGATCAGGTGCTGAGGGTTAGCAGTCTGTGTTTTAAGCAAGCTCTCCATGTGATTCTGACTTTGAAGCTGAGGATCACTACTAGAACTTTTTTTTCAGAGCATCCTGAGAATACCTTTATAGCCTCTGAGTTGGATGCAACAACATTGTTTCATACACAGCTTGACAAATACGAGATTTGTCAAGAGGGAACTGCCACTGTTAGGAGAGGAGGTGAGTGGCTGGGGCAGTTACATCACTTTGGACCACAGCTTTTTTAAATCTCCAATCTGGATCAGTGAAGAAGGAAAACTTCTTGTGGTCCTTGCTCATCATCTTTCTGAAAAGATCTCCTCGTTCCTTCAAACCAGGCTCTCTAGAGGGATGGTAATTACTGAAATCCTTTGTTGTTGAGGCTACAGCAGAGTAACAGAGTGATCCAAGTGGGTAATAATTTTGTTCTGAGGTCTAATCAGAAGTGAATGGTCTGTTTGGCTCATACACCACTGGGCCTCCCCTTGTTAGTTTGCAGATGAGGCAGCTGGACTAAGATCCAGCTGAGGGAAACTGGGCTGAGGGCTGGATCAAAGGGCCACAGGTGAGGGTGTTTGCCTTGGATCATGGTGAATACGGGTAGAGTAGAGAGAGTGAGGCAGCCTTTCTACCTCTCTATGCTGGATCCCGGACAGGGACGAAAAGTTAGGAGCTTGTGTGGAAGCATAACAAAGTACTTGAGAATTTCTGAAATTCAGCTTGCTCAGTCCTGCCTGGCCCAGTCAGCTTGAATTACGTAAAGACAGACTTGAGGGGGAAGAGAGGAGCAAGGACATTATAGGTAACCTTAAAATTTGTACCCCCATAATATGTTGAAATAAAAAAGAAAGGAAGAAAAAAAGCTCTTTCGGTGAGTCACTACGCCACTTTCTTTGAGGAGATGGGGAAGCTTTGGGGAGGTCGAGACTCTCTGGGAGCACTGATTGTCTGAAAACTGCCTTCCCCCATTTTAGACCTTCTTTCACTGTCATCCTCCCCCACGCCCCAAAATGATTTTACACAGCTGTTTTTTACAGATAATGATTCCTGCTTACACTGAGGGAGGGACGTGACTAATTTGGGCTGGAATAGCAGCAGCGGGGTTCTCAAGGAGGCGCTGGCTGAGCTGGGGTGAATGTCCTGAGTGAAGGAGCGGCAGGAGTGGCGGATGTTTCTAGTAAAGGGTGCAGCATTGGGAATAAAGGGGACAGAAATGAACATGGTGGTTATATACGGCATTCAGAAGTCTGTCCTGACAGAAAGGAGAGTTTTTATTGGGAAATAGAAGATAGCAAATATGGTCATAAAGGACCGGGAACATGAATAAAAGGCCTTGAGTAACAGTTTCAGAGATTTAGTTCTTGTATGCAGCAAGGAGTCGGTGACTATTTTTGAACTGGTGAGTGAGTGACACTATTCAGCCTATTGACAGAGATTGAATTCCTACTATTTGTAAGAACTTACTGAAAAAACTTCAGGGTGGTGGTGATATTCAGCATGGGGTAGGCAGAGGGCGGGGTGCATCAAAGAAAGAGCAGAACTGGGAGAATAATTAGGAGCCCTTGAAAAAATTGTCTCAGGTTTAGAATAGATGCATTTAGACTACAATGGTGGCTTCAGAACAGGATGGATAAAGGAGAAATTTCAATGGCAGAATTATTGGTGTTGAAGAGAAAAGAAGAATTGAAGCAGATAGCAAAATATTAAGTCCAGGTTGCTGAGAGGCTAGGTATGGCCCATGAGGAGTTTTAGTGAGTCTGCATATGAACCTGTGATTCGGAGGACTCGAGCATTGGGTAGTGAAGAATGAAGAGGTTGTGGATTAAAGACTCAACATTAAAAGTACCACCTTGCTAATAACATCAGCAATATGTGGAGCTATCTCCTATTTTTTTTCACTTTAAACTGCTTCCAGGAAAATATTATTTAAAAATTTTCTCTGAGCTAGAAGCTCTCTCCCAATTTTGAAAAATTTTAAAGGGCTAATCCTACTATTGGGTTGTTTTGCTTTTAAGGCTGTGTACCAGGGCAACATAAATTTAGATTTTTTTTTTGGTGGTGGCTTTGTTTTCAATTCTGGTGGCTGTCCTGTAATTTTCATGAGAAAAGTTAATTCTAATGTGTCTAGTCTGTCATTCTTGAAATCCTCTTATTTTAATATTAATTCATTTTAATGCGTGGCTCTGTAAGTTTTAGTGAATATTTTAGAATGAGCCGAGGACTTTAAAACAATTTTTTTGAAGATGATCTACTGAGGTGGTGTCTTGGAGGAGTCTTTTAAACTCAGGAACCATTTGGGTTATTGCCCAAATGGGACCTACCCCGTGGTTGTAGCACCTAACAAGGAAAGGTGCCTTTCTAAGGAGAGTTTTTATTTCTCTTTTCTCAAACTATGCAGACATTATTGGACACTAGGGAGTCATAATAAAAAGTATATCATTTAACTGTCATTGAGATAATGTATCACTTGAGGTTTATTATTTCTACATTATAATGGATAATATGCTCTATTAAGCCTGACAAAATCTATACACAAAAATAACTATGATACCTTTAATTTTAAGGCAACTCTTTGCTTTAAGTATTCATCACTTAGGTTCTGGATTTCTCCAGTAAATTGGGTTCAATGCACAGAATGAATATTTTTCAAAACCCGGTCTGTGAAAACTTTGGGAAACTGAGTCAACTGAGGTAGACAAGATCAGCAAAGATATAAAGCAACTCCTTCCCCTGCCATTACAAACAAAACCCCAAACACTTGTTTTCTTTGCTGAGTCAGGCAGGACAGAGCAGAGAGGTCTCATCTTTGAGGACGGGGTGCTCACCTGGCAGCAGTTTCCTCCTGGCCATGGCGGCCGCCCGGTGGCTCTCGTACTCCACAAAGGCAAAGCCCCGGTTTTTGGTTTTGTCTGCGGCGCTTGGGTAGACGATGACGTCAACAACTCCTTCGGTGACCTTTTTCATCTCTGTTAAGATTTCTTCTCTCTTTTTGGTTTTTGGGATCCCCCCGACAAACAACCTGCAGTTATCCACACTGGCACAGACCCCTAAGAGACGCCCATTTCTGCAAAAAGAACAAAAAAAAACAAAAACAAAAAAAGCACACATTTTGACCGATGACCATCCTTGTGTAATTAAGGTTGAAGGCTGAGCTTGAAAATGTAAGGTCCTGGATCAGATACGCCCTGCAGGTGCGGGATGTTTGTTCTTCATAATGTTTATACCATTTTTGGAGCATTGTGGCTACTTCGGAGAGATCATTAGAATTGTCCACATGGGGTTTACATTTTCAAAGGAAAAAGATTATGTGAAGCTGAGTGGCATCTGCTGCCTTTGGACTATGTGTGGATTCACTAGTTGTCATAAATGCTCACACTCCCTGATGCGTCCCAGTACTGAGGCCTCTACACCTGGCCCACATTAGCATGTCATCCCTGGCCGGGCATTTGAGTTTGCAACCCTTGATGTTCCCTTCTTTTCCAACCAAGGAGAAAAAGCTGTTTTGATATGATCTTTATGAAAAATAGCAAAAAAATCTTTATACTTGAACAGATTTTCACATATCATTTGACCCACACAATGAGCCTGTGTGATGGGTAGAGCAGGTATATTTCCATTCTACAGATGAACTTGAGACTCCAAGAACAACATCTTATAGATTTTTTTAAGAGTGGAAACGGACCTCTGGGATCTCAGTCCCTGTTTCTTCCTCTGTAGGAAGTTGCTTATTAGCAAGTTGAAGTTACACGTTCATTGGCAGCCATAGATTGATTAAACTAGTCTGAAGGACATTTGGCAAAATGTATCAAAAGTCTTAAGTGTGTATCACCTTTGACCAAATAATGCCCTTTCTGGGAAAGTGTCCTTGGGAAATAAAGATAAGCACCAAGATTGATGATTAAAGATATTCATTGGTGCTATTTAGTCTACACACTGCAAATGAGCAAAATATCTCACAATAAAGAACTGGTTTAATTCATCTCAACTGAGATGCTTTTGGCTTTGAGACTGAACATTTCCTCATTGTGTACCATAGTATGTTTATCACATCAGGTCACCCAAAAATGCTTCTGCTGCTTTCTAAATGTCCCTTAGGGTGGATAGTACTATTCTTGGCTGAAAATCACCAGTAAACAAAAGATGTACAATCATACCATAGAATGCTCTGCAGTTATTAAAAATAATCATGGAGAAGAATATTTATTGGTTTAAAAAAAACAGTTCATAGTATGCTACTGGGTTAAAACAAGGCTGTAAAATAAGTATAGTAGAAGGTTATTTTGATTAAAAATGTATAGAAAATCTAGAAAGACAAAATGTGAACATAGCGGTTATCTTTCAAGAATGGGGTTATGGAAGAATGGTCTTTTATTTTTTCTGCTTTTTGATGTTTTCCACGTGTTACAGATTAGGCTTATGACTTTTATAATAACACAAAGTTATTGAAAATGGGTAAGATAGCCTTAACAGAAAGCACTCATTTGTCATGAATAAAAGCTCTCGGGTGAGTGGGAGATTGGTCTGATTTTCTTGGAACTAGTGGCTCTTGATTCTGTGGCAGGTATTCTAACCAGATGGAGCCACTGTCCTAGTTGTCTCCTAGGCTTTGGTGAAGAACCACAAACCATGTATCAGCTTTGTGACAGATCTATCTTGGTCTAGCAAGCATTAGCTCAAGAATATGTTTTTCTGGGGGCATAGGTTGGGCAAAAAGGGCTGACAAAATGATCTTACAGTTTTTTTTTTAACTGAAACACTAAAACCCTCTCTTCTAAGATATTGTTTATTTAGAAATTATATTATTTTTGATAGGGGGCTGGTCATGTATCAGTTGCCAGCAGGGGGAGCCTGGAATTCCATATCTTGTTTTTAAATGTGTGTGGTTTGTCAGGCACCTTTCCCAGAATTACTTGGAAACGAGCCATCTCTCAAAAGCTGAGGGCAAAGCTTTAATATCTCTAGAAGCCAGACATTTAGGTGATGATCAGTGAATATTTGATGATAAGGAGGATGATATGATAATTGTGGATCTTTTCCGGATAAGAGCCTTATTTATGCCCTGAGAAATGGTAGCTAAAAGCAAATTGCAGTTTATTCTCTTCTCCACAGGAGAGATTCCCTCTCTGGCAAGACTGACCCAAGGCAGAGTGGAAGTAGGAGAGGTTGACTCTGGGTCTCTGTTCTGCTACGTCACATTCCATTTATCCTACCCCCTAATTTTTAAAGTAGCTCTGTGTCTTTACCTTGCTTCTGGCATCCGACCTGAGCTTTGACTGGAATCTTGGCCACTGATGTTCTCTTTCTAAATTCTTTGTCATATTTCTCCTCCTCCTCCTCCTCTTCTCCACTCCCCTATCACCTTCACCATAGCTATCAGCAGACATCTACAGAGCACCTGATGTGTGCCAGGCACTGAGACTGATGTGCATTATCTCATTTATTTTTCATAACACCCTATGAGTGGCTATATTTTCATCTCTATTTTATAGATGAAGACACTGAAATTCACAAAGAATACTGTTAATTATCAGTGACTGGTGGATTGGTTGTATTTACTATTCATATCCTACCTATTGTCAAAAAGCATTGAGAGGCCCCAGTGGGTAACAATGCGTTGAATAGATACAACAAATCCTATTGGTTCCCTGAACAGCCAATTCCATGGCCATCTCAACTCCAAAGCCTTTTTGGGAATAACCCTTACTATTAGGGTGTCCAGATTCCATGAAAGACCAAGGGAAGCAGAATCTTCTAATCCCTGAAATATATAACTGTAATCTTAAAAAGCTATATTAAAATACAGCTGTTTGTAGCCCATTCAAAGCACTTTAGAGAATATTACTTCATATGGTGGATGCTCACAACATCTCTGTACAGTCAGGTGCCAATGATGAAAGTGATACTCAAAGAGGTTAAAGGAGTTGTCCAAAGGAACCTTGGCTGGGCCTCAAGTCTCCTGAATTCAAACTTCAAACGCTTCTCCACATAGTATACAAAGCTCTTTTGGGTCCATGGAGGCATGTGTGGGAAGGGAGCATTCTTATATATTCTCCAAGACTCTGTTCCAGAATCCAAACTTGGGAATGAATGGGTAGGCTAAACCAATAGTCATCAAATCCAATTGATCTTCTGGTGGCTAAGGAGTTTAAGAAAAATGACCCAGTAGTTGACTGATTTGAACAATTATAAGGACAATGTGTGACTTATTTTGGGCCTATAGAAATTGGGAGAAAAATAATGGTGGGAATTCTGTTCTTCATTCATCAGATTTAAGATCCCATCACATTTAAGATGCGCCTCTATTTCAGAAAGGAAATAGATGTCAAAAACTGCATCTAGAATTGATGAACTGTATTAGTATATAATATTTCTATCATTTGTTGACTTATTACTGCATTCCAAACACTAGGTTAAGCATTTGGAAATGTTTATAGTATCCCCACAATAAAACCTATGAAATGGATAGTATCCCCATTTTATAGATGAGAAAATGGAGGCTTAGAGAGGTTAAGTTACTTGCTGGCACTCAAGTGAACCCTGGCTGACCCTAAAGCTATTGCTTTTTAGCCGTGACATTAATCTTCCTCCCACGTGGTTCAGAGCTTCTAAGAAAGGATTTGTGACAGTTCTCTCACCAAATGGAGGCTTTAGAATTCAGACAATTGAAGAAAGTTAGCCCTATTTCCAGTTTACTTATTTATCTTTTTTTTTAGACACAGAGCATGTTCTGTCACCCAGGCTGGAGTGCAGTGGTGTGATCACAGCTCACTGTAACCTTGAACTCCTGGGCTCAAGTGATTCTCTTTCCTATGCTTCTCGAGTAGCTGGGACTACAGGCACACACCACCATGCCTGGCTAATTCTTTTAAAACTTTTTTGTAGACTTGGGATCTCGCTGTGTTGCCAGGCTTCTAGGCCTTAAGTGACCCTCCCACTTGGACTCTTAAAGTGCTGGGGTTACAGGTGTGAGCCACTGCACCCACCCCCTATTTCCAGTTTGTAAAAACCAGTTATTGGTTACACAGTGTCAATTATGTCCTAGAGCCCTCCTCTAGTCCTGTTGTTTTAATTGCTATGTATATTTGGCTGACCCCTAAGTTTATATTCCAACGGTGACCTCTCTCCTGCCTCCACTGCCATGCAGACAGTCACCTCCTCAGCAGCTCCGCTGGGATATCCAATGTGCATCTCAAATGTAGTGCACCCCAAAGAGAGCTATTCATGTGTTTTCTGCTCTTCTTCTAGTCTTTTCCATATCAGTGGCATTACCATATCCAGATATACTTGGACCAAAATCCTAGGTTTCCTCCCTGAATGCTGAATTCTCTCACACTCTAAATCCAACATCTAGCTGGTCTTATCTTTTCAGCCTTCAAAATATATCCTAGATCTGACCCTTTCTTAACTACCTTCACCGCTAAGTCTCTTGTCCAACCACCATCACCTCTTATTTAGATCTAGACCATTCCACAGCCTTCTAACTGGCTCTCCTTTTTCAGTCCTCACCCTACTATGGTCCCTTCTCCACCCAACAGCCAGAGCCATGTTTTAAAAACAGTAAATCTAATAAAAACTCTCCTGCAATTTCCCCTTTTTATTAGAATAAAATTCAAATCCTTCATCTCAGAGTACAAGGCTCTCCAGCTGTGTTGCTTTCAATCCTCCTCTCTCTCATGGGCTTTCTTTCCCTCAAACATATCCAGCTTGTTCTCATTTAGGGAACTTTGCACTTGGTGTTCTCTCTTTTCTGGAAATAATCTTCCCCAGGCCTGACTGTCAGGGCTGGCTCTTTTTGTTCAAGTCTTGGATCAAATTTCACTTTCCCAGAGGATATTTTCTGAAATACACCAAGTCAGAGTACACACTTCCTCACACAACTTTATTCCGTCTTTGTGTTAATTTTTTCATACTATTTTAAATTGTCTAATATATTTGTTTACTATGAGGACAGGGAATTGTACCTTGACAAATTTCCAATATTTTGAATAGTACTGAGCACATATTTATGAAGTAGATAAATTAATGAATTTCGTTTCTTTGAACATTGCACAGAACTTAGTTTGGCACCTCAAATAATATTGATATTAAATAAAAATTTAATCAAATTAATTTCTACCAAGAAAAAGAATAAACCCATTTTATTTCTGGTTTGGCTATTTTTTACATATGCTATTTAGATAAACTTGAAAGGAAAACAGATACAAGTGCATTGTCTGATTCACTTAGAAGAAGTAGATCTTACCTAATTTCATAATTATTAAGTTGCTTGATTGCATTCTTGGCTTCCAGTTTATTTGAAAATGTTACAAATGCATATCCTCTATTGTTGCCATTAAAATCCATCATCATTCTCATTTCATAAATTTTACCAATCTGTAAGTAACAGAAATAGAAAATTCATATTTGTACTTCTAAATGAACATGCACAGGGGCACGCACACACATTCACACAATGTTTTCTGAAGTCTGCCTCCTGCCAGCACTATTTGGCATTTGCATCCCATGTGGAATGGTTTGCATACTTTCATGCTGGGTTCCGATCAGTTATTTGACTCATGGGAAAAATCAAGTTAAATAAAGAAAATCTGTACAAGTGACATTTCAACTTGAGTTAACAGAATGTTTTTGACATATTAAATGACTTTTCATCACATAATTATCTAGAGATTTATGCCATGTCTCAGGGACCTGAAAACACAATTGTCATCAAAGTACAAATTTTTGATAGATTAGTCCATGCCCTCTGGCTTGGCCTCTGAAGTCTCCATAGTTCCATCTCTACTTGGTCCCACTCTGCCACTGATGTTTAAAACAAAAACCAAGAATTCCCATTTGGAATGCTGCTAAACTGACTTCTTAGCTTTCTTTTTTTCCTGCCATGACATCAAAATGAACACAGATATGTTTCAGAGGATGATCTGGGGAGCCTTGTCATTTTCTGAACCTGAAGGCTGAAGGTCAATGCTAGTCTTAATACAACCGACCCAGGGCCAGGAACTCCACTGTGGGAGAGCACTCACTCTATCTCCTTGGCTACAGTGACTCTGCTTGCCCATATAATACTCCCTGCCATCACACTACCTGTTCTGCAGCAACACAGACTTAGCAATTTACTATTGCAGGCTGCTGTAGAAGGATTGCCCAAATCGACACCATGGGCATGTCTGGGGAGAAGTGTCATTAAGCATATGCCATTACCTCAGTGGCTGGTTACTCCTCAGCTCAGCCCCACCTCATCCCATGGTGTTTAGTGATGGATACCTATTTCTTCTGGGCTCATTAGGAAAGAGTTTGAGCATGTTTTCATCTCTGAGTTTCAGGTGTTTCTTGATGCTCAACTTTATGTTCAGTATATAAGATTCTTATAGAAGTCCTCATAATTTGTCCACGTGTCAGATGGAATTGTATGTATGAAGTCAGATGTTTCTGAATCTAAGGCTAAGTTATATATACATACACATAATTGATTTTGGCATTTAGGAAAGAACTAAATTCTAATATTCACTAAATTTTTCAGGTATGTGATTCTTGCTAAAAACCACTTGGTAAATTATTAAAAATTTTAATTTTGTATTCTCTCTTTGATTTGAATTTGGTTAAAAAAAACACCTCAATTTGAATTAAAACTGAAGAAATTTATTCCTCAGTAAGTATATAATGACACTGAGAAACCATATTCTTAATCTTATTGATACATTAAGGTAGACAAGAAATTCAGGCTTGCAGAAGAAAATTTCATTCCAGATTGAAATATACAGGCACATGTTTGAGCCATGACAACCATATACATTCTTTTAATATGACAATTTTGTACTTTATAAAACCATATTAAAATGTCAATTTGGAGCAATAGCTAATTTTAGGCCGGTTGTTGTAGAGTGATTATAGGTAGATAGACACACTAAGTTTGCAGTGAGACGGCCACCAGTGGGGAGATTGGGGAACGAGGGATAGATTTTAAAGTCATTATCGATTGTAGTTCAACCTGTCACAAACAGGAAGAAGAGCTGGGTCAAGGCAGTGATAATAAAGGGATAATCGCTAACAGCTAGGAAGGTTTTAACTTTGCCCCAAATTGAGAAATGGCAATTGGAAAAGAAACCATCACTGACCAAGAAGAGTGAGAATACAGTGAAGAGAATAGGATTTTTCCCTTGAAAGATAAGAAAAATTAAATGTTAAATTTGGACTCACTTTTTCACATAATGGGATAAGTTCATCCTCAAAAAGGTCTCGGGGAAGTTTTCCAATAAAAATTTCACAGCCCCTTTCCGGGGGTGCAGCATCCCAACCGGGCGGAGGTCCACCGTATTTTCTTTGTCCATTTTCCTGCAAATCCAGGGCAGGTATGAGGAAGAGAAGAAAATGATGAGATCAGTTTCTTTATTATTTTTCAAAATTGTTTCACAATGAGGAACATATTTATCACTGACAAATAAAATGACTGGTTGGTTAGAGGGAGAAAACTTAAAGGCTTTTTTATGTGGATTATAATACCATGCTCCGTGTGTGTGTCAGTAACTTGCTTGAGATAAGCATTGTTAAAATTTGTATTGTGCTGGGCAAATATAATGGGTTATTTTTTTTTTTTTACATTTTACTTTATTGTAGTAAGAACAATTAGGAGATCTACCTTCTTAACAAGGAGTTATTTATTCTTGTTGTTGTCATATAAACTCACCAAAGCCTGATCATCAAAGGATCTGACTACAATTTAAATCTGGATCTCTGATTTAATGTTGAGGGCTGTGCAGTGTGGTGGGAAGTGTCTGAGAGCCAGATTGCTTGGCTCTATTGCTCACTAGCTGTGAGACCTAGGGCAGATGACTTCTCAGAACTTCAGTTTTCTCATATGCAAAGTGGGAATCATATCAGCTTTGGGTTATAGGAGACATATCAAATATGCAAGGCTTTTGGCATGGGCTATATCTTCAATAGTTATTAATTCCCTTCTTGTCTTCCTGGATTTTGGTTGTTTCATATGCCAAGCAAGGCAATGTGACCCCTAAATAAGAACATACAAAGATTAACATTTGGAGGAGTGAACTGGCTAATTTTGGGGGTAGCTGGGGATGGACTTAAATCTATTTCTAAAGCTGACAACAGGGTAAGAAGAGTTTACTGACACTGAATCTTCATGTGGGGAATAATAATGTTCTCAGTCCAACTAAAATTAACTTCTGGTTTTGTTTTTTACCTTTTTCCTAACAAATGACCTTTTTAGGAAGGATTAGCATTATTGTTTCTCTGCAGTACTAACTATTTTTATATTTCTAGGGATTAAAACCTGAATATAACTTCAGGGGCCCCAAAGTGAAGTATGGACCTAGTACACCACTATTGATCTGAAATAGTTCATTTTTTGGGAATAAGTAGATAAATTACTTTTCACTTAGGCACACAGTTCTTTGTCGTTACATTTCATTAGGATTTTTGGAGATAAAAATGGACCGAGTGTCAGTATTAATTACTAATTTCTACAACTAATATTTTAAGTTTTATGCTATAAAATGATACATGTTGTTGGAAAAAGTAAAATATAAAGTAAAAAGAAAAATTCCCCAATGTATCACCCTACCCATCCTGTGTGTGCCTTTCCAAATATTTTTCTATGTATATTTTAAAAAGATATGTTGTTTAAAGACACTTTTGAGTGATAGTTGTTTGCCGTTTAAAATAAAAGAAAAGCAGCTTGTAGTATCCCTGTTAAATCTTTCTATATATCAACTTGAGTCTTAATTATATAAATGTTAGCACAAAGGCTCCTTGTATCACAGTGTTTAATTGATGTCTGTGGTCATGATCACTTTTTTATTCCTAATAATTCATATTGTGTTTCTTTAAATAATAATAAAACAGGTGTATATGAGTCATCTACCTTGGCTAGATTACTTTTTTGCTTCAAACAACTGAATATTTTAAATCTTACTGAGTATTTAAATTTTTGCCTATAGAGTTCTCATGTATTTTTTTCTTACTCTAATATTCTTGCAGGATTGTCCAGTAACAAAACTTTTGTATCACTGAGAAATCTGATAAATGAAATGTTTTATGCTTATAGAAAACAAAAAACTCTTAAGAATTTAGGAGTCCGTATCTCAGTCAAGAATTTCCTAAAACATGTAAAATTGATATTTTCAGAGATATTGAAGATTTTATTTATAAAAAAAAAACTTGTATAGCACTTACTACATGTCAGATTCTGTTTCAATTCTTACAACAACATCATGGGTTAAGGACTATTATTATCCCATTTTACAGAAGATATCGAGGCCCAAAGAGATTAAGTAACTTCCCAAGGTCATGTGGTTGGGAAGCGAAGAAGCCAGGATTTGAATCCAGGCAATAAGGCTTCAGAGTTCATCAGTTTAATCTCTACATTTTGCTGCTTTGACATGTGAAATCCTGGTCACTCACAACAGACACATACATTAAAATACTCCTTATTTATGAAAAAATGTATTATGCCATTAAATGGCAAACTCCCTACTGCATTTAGAATCTTTTTCAATTTCCAATCATTTTACCACACAAACCATTTGGAAGAACATGTCTCACATCTATTGCTTATAGAGAGGTATATTACTACAGGTTGAGCATTCCTAATCCCAAAATCCAAAATGCTCCAAAATCTGAAATTTGAGCACTGCCATGACACCACCTGTGGAAAATTTCACACCCGACCTCATATGATGGGTGCACAAAATTATCAAAACTATTCTATAAAATTACCTTCAGGCTATGTCTATAAGGAGTATATGAAACATAAATGAATTTCATGTTTTGGGTCCCATCCCTAAATTGTCTTACATACGTATGCAAATATTCCCAAATTTGAAAAAAATCTAAAATCCAAAACATTTCTGGCCCCAAGAATTTCACATAAAAGATACTCAACCTGTTTATATTGCCAAACTACCATCCTCCTCCCTAGCCCAATTCTCTCCAACTGGGATGATGATGACTCTTGAGACTATTTCTGTACATCTTTGATGCCTATAACATTCAACAGATTACTGGAATAAATTTAGTATAAATTTGGTAGCATTTTAACCCTTCAGATTGAGGAAACCAAACTTTCTTCCCATAATAGTAAAGTGGCTATTCCAGAATTTCTGACTTGACAAGCTTTGTCTGATAAGAAAATAAATAGGCAACCAGTAGATAGACCTTTTTTTGTTTTCTCTTCAACTTTCTTGATTGCCATAATTGTTAAACATGTCACCCAACTACTTTGCACATATCATGTGTATAGGAGTATTCATCTGCTTATGATCTGAAATGATTGAGCAGGAAAGCTTATTGTCTTTCTGTGGTTTCTAAAAACACTGGAAAAAATTCCCCAAGAATATTTTTCTGGGGACTGTTCAGAGTCTGGAGTGGTTCAGAGATGCCCTGAAGTTCACAGTAGGGGAGGTTTGCTCTGTGAACCACCCACTGGGCTAGGAATGCAGCAGTGCTGGAAGTCCAGACCAATTTAAGACAAGCCCTGGGCATTAGTCATGGGGTTAGAATAGCTGTCCATTACTCAGAAAGGACAGTTGGGCTCTAGTTTGCTGGTATTTTGGGCACTATTTTTATACTTGAGGAGTTTAAAATAGATAAAGCCCAGTTATAATTGCTCTCTTCCCTTCTGGCTAATGTCCTTCTCATGGGACGCATTCTCCCGGGCAGTGCGAATGTATTAATAGTTCACAGTAAAAGAATATAGATTTTAGTTTTTCATAAGAGAATGTTCATTAAACTCTGTGAACTTTTATTTTTCCAATCAAAGACTTTTTGGAAAACTATTACCTCTTTCTAGTCACATATAAAAAGGTGGAAAACCTTCAACTATGTAAATTAAAAATTGAGGACACAATTCTAATGCAGTGGCTTTAATGTAAATATTGGATGCTGAGTCTATCCAGTAACTCAAGGGTATTTGTAAGTTCCTGTTACAGATATTTCAAGTTCCTCATGGTAGAGCCATAGAATCCTTAAGATATTGTGTCAGCCTTCTTGACCCTGGATAAAAACCATACCACCTTCTTCCATAAATCATTCTAAGCAATAAGTCTTAGCATGGAGGTTGAACAAACTGAGTTCATTTTGGCCACTGAGCATCTGAATGTATTACACATCTGGGGAATCTGGACAAAACTGTCTTCTACGGGACTGAACAATGCCGGATACTTGCTTTGCCAGCTTTCCTTGCAGCCAGGACAGTCATGGTTATAGTAAAGTAAAATTGAGTTCAGATGCAGAAATCACAAAGGTGCAAACTTTAATGCTGACTGTCCATGATGTTAGATACATTTTCTTAACATGACAAATATGTGATGTAGTTTGGGGTTTTTGAATCTGACTCTTCAAAGTTTCTGTGAACGAACACCCTTTACATCCTTTTAAGAAACTCTTTTCTGCTAGTAGAAAAAAGTTATAGCTTCTGTTGTTTGTACTTAATAGTAATAGCAGCAAAAGCAAGTAACCTCAATTGAGTTAGGCACTGTGCTAAGTATTTTACATGTATTAAGTCATTTAATGTTCTCAACAAACTTAATGAAAATGACACTGCTATTACCTTCATATTATAGATGAGAAACTCAAGGCATAGACTGTGTTTAAATTGGTACAAGCAATAAGCAACAGAGACAAAATTTGGATCCTAAGCCTATGCTTGTTGTTATAACATTATGTCCCTTTGGTTTTTATGTTAACCCAATATGCTCATTTTAGAGATGAGGAAACTGAGTTCAGAGATATCATATGACTTGCCTAAAGTCACAGAAAACACTAGAATAAAGGATCTGTCTGTGATTCGTGGTTTGGTGAACTTTATGGCATATATAGTATTCAAAAGTTCTGATGATTTTTCTTCTCAGGCTTAATCCCTGTGTGTTCTACCTGCTTTCCAGCTCAACTTCACCGATTATAAAGACCAGATGGTTGTTGTTTTCCATAAAGGAGCTCATTCATAAAATGAAAGGACATTGATTAATCAACCTTCATTCAGTCTGTTTTTGCCTGAGTAGTAATTTCGATTTCTTTAATGGCTCTTTGAAAATTTTATATTCCAAATTTGTAATCATCTTTGTGGATATCTTTGGTTCTTTGTTTTTTTTTTTTTCACTCTCCAAGAGGGAAGAAACTGTGTACTTTTCCTAAGTAAACTGGTTTCAGATGTTCTCCTAGCCACTTCCCAATTGACTAGGGTTATATTTATTCCTGCTCCTGTTCCCTCAGGTCCTGGCCAATCTACCCGGGCTTGGTGGCATTTAGTCTTCACAAGTTTACCAGTCACCAGGGCCACACCCAGAACAGTGGTTCTGTGATCATAGTTCTTGTGG